ATGGTGGCCGCGCCCATCTCCAGGTGAGCAGGCTGAGTGGGTCCTTGGAGGTGTGCCCCGTTTGTACTGCTCTGCAGCCTGAGAGCACCCACCCCCTCAGCCTGGTCCTGGCCCTGTCTCTGCTGCCCACGTGGGGACCCGTCCTGGACCCTCGTGCCTCGGTCTGCTCAGGTGGAACCCTGATGGCAGAGGGCTTGTCGGTGGAGGTTTCACTCGGTAAGAAGAGGAGGAAGAGGTGATGCCAAGATGCTGTTCTGAGCTGCTCGGGGATGAAGTCACTGGCGAGAAGGGGACGCAGGGAGGCCAAGCCGGAGCTCAGGCTGGGGCTGCGCCCAGTGCCTGCCGCAGCTCCTCTCTGAAGGCCGTCTCAGAGGGTGCCGTGCTCCTGTTCCGTATCAGGGAGCACGTGTAGGCTCGTCCGAAGTCACTTGTGGAGACAAGCATGTAGGGGAGGTCACAGCACAGTCCTCTGTTTTCACAAAGACATGGAGCAAAACGTGCAGGACATTGAAAATTACTTAAAGCCTGCTGTTTTTGTTTGTGGTGGCAGAGTATTTCCTTATTCTTATGTATTCTTACTTATTTTAGTTTTATAAATTTTCTAACCCAGTCTTCTCCAGTTCCTCCATATATAGTGACAACGGTTCTGTATATCAAAGGGCATCTATTCTTCAATTAATATCTCCCTTACTGTAATCTTTCCACGGTATCGTTTTTTGTTTTAATAGTATATTTGCGTATGCATACACTCCTAACTCATGTGATGCATACATACAGAGATGAATATACATGCTATAGTTTTTCTTCACGCAGGTGTTTTCTATGTTTATCCTCTAGCTTGGCTGTCCACCCCTATTTCAGTTAGACACACACTCACTGCTCCCTGCTCAGAGGCTCATAGAAAGCATGAATACTTCCCCACATATGATCAAAGTGGGGTCATGTTACATTTCTGCATTTTGCCCTTGTCACTAAAAAGTTATATTAAGTCTCTATTTAGGGATGTTGGTTTTGTTTTTTCTTTTATTCACTGCACCTACCTAATATATCTCAATAAAGTACTTTTATTTTAGAAGCATATATTGTCAATATTATTTTTTATTAATATTGTAGTGTGCCTATCCATGGCACATTTTTTTTTTTTTAATTTCAGAGAGGGAGAGAAAGATAGAAACATCATCAGTGATGAAAGAGAATCGCTGATCAGTTGCCTCCTGGTTTATAGGTTGATGCTCCACCACTGAGCCACACCATCCAAGCCTTGTCCCACTGAGCCAGAAGCTGGGCTGGCTGATCCTTAGCACTGCCACGGAGGAGGGAGAGGCTCCCACCACCACTGCTGCACTCGCCAGCCGTGAGCCTGGCTCTGGCTGAGCAGTGACCCGCTCTGAGAGCACTCTGACTATGGGGCAGCTCCTGTGTGAGCATCTAACCCTGATGGTCCGTGTGCATCATAGCAACCGGTCGTTTTGCCATTCAGTCTATTTGCATATTAGCCTTTTATTATCCCATCTAATAAAAGAGTAATATGCAGCCGAAACCGGTTTGGCTCAGTGGATAGAGTGTGGGTCTGAAGACTGAAAGGTCCCAGATTCGATTCTGGTCAAGAGCATGTACATTGGCTGGGGGCACATCTCCAGTGGGGGGTGTTCAGGAGGCAGCTGATCGATGTCTCTCTCTCATCGATGTTTCTGGCTCTCTATCCTCCTCCCTCCCTCTCTGTAAAAAAAAATAATAATAAAATAATAATAAAATATATATATATGTTTTTAAAAAGAGTAATATGCAAATTGACTACCTCCACTATACCCACAAGCCATGCCCACCTGCCAATCAGGAGCGGATATGCAAATAAACCCAACCAAGATGGCTGCAGCTACGGAGAGCAGGAGGGAGGCTTGGGTTTCCCTGGAGTCAGGTGATCGGAGCCAGCTGGGGGTCCCCTGCCCAGGGCCCCAGCCTCAGCCAGAGTGGAGGTGGAGTCAGAGATCTGAGGAGATAGGTGTGAACTGCAGAGGAAACAGCTTTTCTGACTGCTCATTGGTTAACGTCCTGTATGCCACTGGTAATATTCTTAGTAACTTGGGTGATCTAGGGCTTCTCCACCACACTCCTGAAGAAAAAAATGAACTTCTGCTGCTGGACGGCTAAGAAATGTCATATCCTGCCCTAGGCAGTTTGGCTCAGTGGATAATGCCTTTGTTATCAACTGCAGGATCCAGGTTAGATTCTGATCAAGGGCATGTACCTAGGTTGCAGGCTCCTCCCTGGCTGGGGCCCAGATCAGGGCTCATGCAGGAGGCAACCAATCAAAGTGTTCCTCTCACTTTGATGTTTGTTTCTGTGTGTCCCTTTCTCTTCCACATTCTCTAAAAATCAATGGAAACATATCCTCAGGGGAGAAAGGGAGGGAGAGAGTGAAGAAAGAAAAGAAAAGAAAAGAAAAAAGAAAAGAAGAGAAAAGAAAAGTCATATCTTATGAAAGACACACCTTGAAAATGGTGAAGGGACCAGAGTCTTTGTTGATGAAAACACCTTGGTGGCTGTAGTGACTGGCAGTGGCAGCAACAGCGGGGTGATAGGGCTGGCGCCTTCACCTGATCAGCCTAGTCGTCTCCCACAAAGGGAGGCCAGACTGCGGCTTAGGTCCGCTCCCCAGGGAGCTGGCCTATGCCATCAGTAGGACATCCCCTGAGGGCTCCCAGTATGTGAGAGGGGGCAGGCTGGGCTGAAGGGACCCCTCTTCCAGTACACAAATTTCATGCACCAGGCCCCTAGTATAGGATAATTTATATACCATACAGATTGTTCATCTAAAGTGGATTTTAGTACATCACAACTGTAGGACATTTTCATCACTTCCAAAAGAACCACAATGTCCTTACTGCCACAGCCCTCACTTTCCTGTCTAGGCTGCCACCAGCATCCGTCTGGCTAGATTGCTGTGTTCTGGCCATTTTGAATGAATGGAATTGTGTGCCGTGTGGTCTGTAGTGACAGTGTTTTCAATGTTCCTCCATGTCGTTCAGCTGTCAGTCCTTCATTCCTTTTCATGGCTGAATAATATTCCACTGTTTGACACACACACACAGTGTTTGGGAAGTGTAAGCTTTTTGATTTACATTAAGAGCTGAAAATTCTGGTTTCATACTAGCTTCAGTAGTTTAAAGTTATGTAGCATGTTAACACCTACAAAAAAGCTTTATGCTGGATATTGTGCAAATTTTATCCCCTGAACAAGGGGGACCAAATAATCTCTCCCACTTATTGTCAATGTGCAAAACATTTATTTTTTTATTGTAATTGACACAAATTATATTAGTTTCAGGTGTACAACACAGTAATCTGACATTTCTCTCTCTTACGAGTGATCATGTTAAATCTAGTGACCATCTGGCGCTGAGTATTGGGTCTAGTAATAATTAATGTCGTTTTTTAACATTCGTTTAAAATCTTGCTTGGCGTTGACTTGTATTGACATAACCTTCAAACACGTGGTATCTACAGAACGTGTGAAGTGCAATTAATAAGTTTTGCTTCAAAAAGTTTGTGTTTGGTTTGTTTTTTGTTGCAAAACTAGAGCTAAGAAGATGGCAGATGAAGAGCATATTCGGCACTGCATGCTTTACGAGTTCCAATTAGGAAGAAAAGCAAGTGAGGCTGCAAAAAACATCTGTAGTGCTCTTGGTCAAGATGCAGTTAGCGCCAGAAAATGCCAGCGTTGGTTTCAGAAATTTCGCGAGGGGAATTTTTCATTAGATGACAAGAGTGGTCGAGGCCGTGTGTCCAATTTTGATCAAGAAGCTCTTCAAGCTCTTTTGGTGCAAAAGCCTCAAATTACCCAACAAGAGCTTGCGACAACTTTAAATTGTTCCCAAAAAACAATTTCTAATCAATTGCGTGCACTTGGCAAAGTCCAAAAGTTTGGAAAATGGGTTCCTCATGAGTTGACCGACAACAACCGTAATCAAAGAGTCACAATTTGCAGTTCGCTCCTCTCTCGTCAAAACCGTTTGCCGTTTTTAGAGCAAATTGTTACCGGAGATGAAGAATGGGTGCTGTATGTTAATTTGAAAAGGCGGCCTCAATGGTTGGACAAAAATGAGGCTCCGCAGCACATGCCAAAACCTGACTTGCATGCGAAAAAAGTGATGTTGTGTGTTTGGTGGAATTTTAAAGGAATTCTTCATTATGAACTTTTACCATAACCAAACCATTACAAGTGCAGTGTATAGTGCCCAATTGGAAAGGTTAGCCCAAGCTTTAAGAGAAAAAGAACCCGCGCTGATTAATCAGAAGGGCGTAATTCTTCACCACGATAACGCACGACCGCATACTGCAAGAATCACTGCTGAAAAACTGCGCCAGTTGGAATGGGAAGTTCTCCCTCAACCTGCATATTCTCCTGATATTGCCCCTTCCGATTACCATTTGTTTCGTTCTTTGCAAAACTTTCTTCTTGGAAAAAAATTTAATAATGAAGAATGCCTCAAAAATGCATTGACCAAATTTTTTGCATCAAAATGACAAGAATTTTACAACAGAGGGATTAAAATGCTTCCTGAGCGTTGGGCACAAGTAGTAGAAAACAACGGCAACTATATTGTTGATTAAATTTTGTTGTATTGTTTAAATAAATTCGATTTAAAAAAGTATTAGAAAACGACATTAATTATTACTAGACCTAATAGATTATTACGATGTTACTGAGTGGATTCTCTGTGCTATTCCTTCACTCCGGACTCATTTTAGACCTGGGAGTTTGCACCTTTTTGCACATGTCCCCTCTCCCCTGTTTCCATAGGGTTTGATGTCACATTGATATTTAAACAATTTTAATGGTAAACTGTTTTCATTTTCATATTTTAGAACATTAGCTTTAGTCTTTTTATGATTATATTCAGCATTTCCAATATGTATTCACTATTTGTGTTCACATAGTGAAGTAGGGCTTTGTTGATTGCCTTTACGTTTATGTAAACTCTTATTCTTTGTTGTAGAGTCGCTTTGCGGTCACATGGATCTGCGGTATGGAGTCGGCCACGTTTGATAACTTCACCTGGGAAGGCGAGAGCCTTCTTCCTTATTAAAAGCCGTGAGGAAAACAACCAAAGGAATCGTGCCAGATGCCAATGCTACATCGCTTTCAAACCATCAAGACAAATGGCTTGAACTTTAAATTTGTTCATCAACATTATTTTTACCATTTAAGAAAAAATCGTTTTCACCTTAAGCTATACAAATCTTTTTTAAATGTAACATAAAAATCTCTAAGGCCTTGTTCAAAATAGCCTCCTTCTTCGTTTTCAGAACTTAATGTTCATGTGCCCTGTTTCAGTTGGCGCAGTCCTCACAGTATCCAGCAGCAGGAAAGCTATGGATGCGGAGGGTCATGGCATTGTCATAGGCTGCAGTACATTTCCTTGTACACTGAAGTCAAGACAGCACCCGTTTCATCAAAATATCACACGAGCACACCGTTCTCAGCTTTGATGCCCACAGAGCTGCTTGAGCATGGCGTGGGTGAAGTTCCTGCGGAAGCCGGGTGGCAACCTGGGCAAGGCGTACCAGCCGGGCAGCATGCTGTCGCTGGCGCCCACCAAGGGGCTGCTCAACGCGCCGGGCCAGAACAGCTGCTTCCTCAACAGCGCCGTGCAGGTGAGCCTCCCCCGAGCGCAGGCCAGCCTTCAGCAGAGGCTTCGTCTGGTGTTGCTTTAACTTGTGCATAAGAATCGAGTTATGCTTTTTTAAGATATATTTTTATTGATTTCAGAGAGGAAGGGAGGGGGAGAGAAAGATGGAAACATCAGTGATGAGAGAGAATCATTGATTGGTTGCCTTCTGCTACTGGGGATTGAGCCCACAGCCTGGGCATGTGCCCTTGACTGGAATTGAACCCGGGACCCTTCAGTCTGCAGGCCGACGCTTTATCTACTGAGCCAAACAGTCCAGGGCAAGAATAAAGTTATTCTTGGCTGCAATGACCTTTTATCACTTTTATTTTTATTTTTATTTTAAAAATATTTTATTGATTTCTTACAGAGAGGGATAGAGAGTCAGAAACATCGATGAGGGAGAATCATTGATCAGCTGCCTCTTGCACATCCCCACTGGGGTTATGCCCGCAACCAAGGTACATGCCCTTGACCGGAATCGAGCCCGAGACCCTCCAGTCCACAGCCGACGCTCTATCCACTGAGCCAAACCGGTCTCGGCCTTTTATCATTTTTAATGGTGGCGACAATATATGGGCGCTAGTAGGCACTTTGGTTATTATACCAGAAGGAATTTTTTCAGCAGGGTCATATATTACTATGATATAAAAACATATTTTGATTTATAGTGGTTACTTAGTATATTAAGAGTATATTTCTCAAATACATAAAATAGTTTTTGAATCCGCTAATTTCCTCCTGTGCCCGCTACACGCACACACATCCACATATTTTTTTAAAAGGAAATCCAGTAGAACCCATGGTCAGCATAAAAGAAAACGAGCCATTTGAGAGGAGCTGTTTTTTGTTTTTTGTTTTTTGTTTTTTTAATATAATTGATTTTTTACAGAGAGGAAGAGAGAGGAATAGAGAGCTAGAAACATCGATGAGAGAGAATCTATCAGCTGCCTCTTGCACACCTCCTACTGGGGGTGTGCCCGCAACCAAGGTACATGCCTCTGACCAGAATCAAACCCGGGACCTTTCAGTCCATAGGCCGACGCTCTATCCACTGAGCCAAACCAGTTTTGGCGGGGGCTGGGTTTTTCATCGCAGTGCTCCAGCCTCCTCACCCGCTGTGCCCTGGCCACCTCTGTGGGTGTTGGTCCAGTGTGCCTCCGTCCTTGTTGCAGTTCTTATAACTGACATGTGTATATTAGCCTGCTTCTCTGTGTCAGATGAATGTCCTATGTGTGGCATGGTTTCTGTTCACCATCCCAGCTTTTGGCGGATCCTGTGTTCTTCCCACCACCACTGAAGAGGCTCTTACTCTGGGGATCCCAGAATATTCCTTAGAAGAATTGATTGAAAATAAACCACTTTGACATGTTTTCCAATGCTGCTTTTTCCTCCTGCAGCTCAGAGCAGACAGACAGTACTGGCTGTGAGCCCCTCCTTCAGTGAGCCTTTCTGGGCGCTCAGACGGCTGAGCGAGGACGCGGTGAAGGAAGTGGAGCGGTGCTCCTGCAGGAATGCACTCGGGCGCCCTGGCCTGCCACGGAGCTGCTCCCACGCAGCCGCCTCGCTGCTGCGGGCATCTGTGTGCAGGCCCCGCTGGCGTCTGCTGGCACCTCTCAGCGTTTCTCGTGGTCCAGGATGTCGGCCATGAGTTCTTGAGTTTTTGTGTGTCTGGGGAAAAAATGGACTTCGTTTTGTTTGTGAAAGGCTTCCGAGTTGCCATTTTCTCTTCAGTTCTGTGGCGCTCTCACTCCCTTCATTCGCGTTGTTTCTGCTGAGCCGCTGTGGTCTCACCCATCCCTCTGCCCACGCCCTCTTCTCTGTCCCCAGGAGGCCAGGGCGTGGAGTACTTCCACATTGTCCCCTGCATGCTGCTTGTATGCGGTTTGCTGAGAACTGATGTATAATTTTAATCAAATTGGGAAACTCTGACCATTAAGCCTTCAGATTGTCCTGTCCCCTCCTGTGGAGCTGCACGTAACGATCTGGCGGTTATGGCAGGAACGACAGCGGCAGGGAGCAGCTGGCGCTCGTTGCCTGCCGGCTAGGCCTGGCACTGCTCTCCTGCTGCAAAGGTTTAACTGAGTGTGGGTCCTCATCAAGAGCGCTGTGAGGGCGAGGCAGCGCGGTCCCCACGGGGGAGAGGCCAGGGTTTTCAGACCTACGTTAAGTGCCGGTTTAAATAAATCAGTGCTCTCTGTCTGTCTGTCTGTCAGTAGTAAATGATGACTGGATAGCTGTAGTGAAAGTATCGGGTTATTTCTAACTCCGCTTCCTACACCCCAATGCCAGCCAGGCGCCTTCCCCTCAGGGTGGGGTGAGCACACAGGCCGCTGCTCGCCTGTCTTCTCATCCACCCCTCACTGACCTGAACCGTGGTCTCAAGTCCAGGTGTACTTCCTCTGAGTTCCAGTTCCTTCCAAGTACTGCAATCACTTCCTCTTGTGTCGCTTGTCAAGTCCCTGCAGTTACGCGGTGTGCTGCTCAGAGTCCTTACCTGAGGCCTCGGCTCCCTGCTCGGCGCTTCCCGGGCTCCCCGGGCGCCTGTTGGCATCGTGCTTCCTGCTAGTGCTGTCTGGGGGGGCGGGGGCGTATCTGATGTGCAGGAGGTTAAGGCCGTCACAGCCTGCAATTTCTAAGACTTCCCGCCTCCTCTCGCCGAGAGTCTCACGGTCTCCCGTCTCCCACCACAGGTGCTGTGGCAGCTGGACATCTTTCGGAGAAGCCTGCGGGCCCTGACGGGGCACGTCTGTCAGGGCGAGGCCTGCATCTTTTGTGCGCTGAAGGTAACCTACAGCTCCCACAACTCGAGTTGTCTCTCCACATTTTAATTTTACCTGACTGTTTGCCATATTTGATTAGCTCACATGTAATTAAAGTTCATTGTCAAGCGATTTATAATTTTGAAGATGAATTCTTAAAGTATGACTTATTTGGGTTTATGTTTTCATTTTTCACTTCTGTACAAAGACAATACTATACATGGTATGAAGTTGTTGAGAACATTACCTTTTACATTATTTTGGAATTACTAGTTTTTGCCTGTTTTTTGAACTGCTACTAAATTCTGGTTGCCAACGAGGCAGCAGTAAACAGAGTGATAAGCCTGCTCTCAGGGAACGTCTGTCCCAGGTAGGGGCAGTGAAGCAGCACTGTGAGGAGTATCTCAGGGGCAGGAAAGAGCACTGTGGGGAGTATCTCAGGCAGTAGAGCAGCACTGTGGGGAGTATCTCAGGGGCAGTAGAGCAGCACTGTGGGGAATATCTCGGGCAGTAGAGCAGCACTGTGGGGAGTATCTCGGGCAGTAGAGCAGCACTGTGGGGAGTATCTCGGGCAGTAGAGCAGCACTGTGGGGAGTATCTCAGGGGCAGGAAAGAGCACTGTGGGGAGTATCTCGGGCAGGAAAGCACTGTGGGGAGTATCTCAAGGGCAGTAGAGCAGCACTGTGGGGAAGTGTCTCGGGCAGTAGAGCAGCACTGTGGGGGAGTATCTCGGGCAGTAGAGCAGCACTGTGGGGAGTATCTCGGGGGCAGGAAAGAGCACTGTGGGGAGTATCTCAGGGGCAGGAAAGAGCACTGTGGGGAGTATCTCAGGCAGTAGAGCAGAACTGTGGGAGTATCTCGGGGGGCAGTGACTGCAAACGAGAGAAATGGGCCAGAAGAGGATGGAGTCGCGCTGCAGGAAGCCGTCGCGGAGAAAGTGGCATTTACATTAGGACATGAAAGGGTGACCGTGGCCTGAATGTTCAGGCGGCAGGCCCCTGAGGGCTGTGAGCATGACAAGGTCCTGGAGACGTGGCTGCAGCCGCTGTGTGGGCGCGGGTGCCAGGAGCTCAGTGTGGGGAGCAGTGATCACACCCGCCTGCAGAGGCCTCGGTGTGGGCTCCAGCCATGACATGGCCTGAGGCTGCAGTTGCTGCAGCCCTGAGGTCAGGTGCCTGGAGAGGGCACCCTGGCTCCCCCTGGCTCTGTCTAACGAGTGGTTGTTCTCCGAGGGGCTGCGATCCCAGGAGGAGGCCAGGCTGGCCCCACAGCCGGCAGGGGGCCGCACTAGCAGCTTCCTGGCATCGGTTTCCATGAGTGCATTCCTAGCACCAGGCTGTGCCACAGGCCTCTGCCAGAGCAGGGCTGAGCTGTCCCCTCCAAGTTCAGATTTGTGCCCTAAGTGAGGCCGACTGTTGGTCACAGCCAGGTGCTTCGTCATGGAGTGGTCGGTAACGCACAGGGGGGAGGGCACGGGGACCTTCTAGCCTCTGAGAGGACCTCGGCTTTTCTCCTGCGTGATGCCAGGAGTTGGGGTCCTTGGCATAGAGGGGGGACGCCGTTTTAATTGGATACTGTGTTTGGACTGGACTAACTGCAGGAATGAGCAGACAGAGGCAGGGAGTCTATACAGATTAAGCATCTCATTTACATAATTGAAATCCCATCCAGGAATCTAAAGTTTTCATCAACACTTTTTAAAAAAAAATCGATTTAGAGAGGAAGAGAGAGGAAAAGAGAAAGAGAGACATCAGTGATGAGAAAGAATGACTGATTGGCTGCCTCCTGCACAATCCCATTGGGGATCAAGCCCCCAACCCAGGCATGTGCCCTTCACCGGGAATCAAACTATGAGTTCCTGGTTCATAGGTCAACAGTCAACCATTGAGCCACACTGTCCAGGTTATTAACACATTTTAACACTATCGAGTTCCTGCTATTTCTCATATGATTAGATGCTTATTCTTGGTTAACATAATTTCAGTTCCTGTAGTACACTTTTGATTCAAAGCAACTCATCACAACACTCCCTGAGACCCGGTCAGCATCACCGGGAGTATGTAACGCGGGCCTCGCTCAGGCACACGCAGCCAGGAGCAGCCAGGCTGGCCGAGAGGTGCTGGTCCTGTTGCTGCCACTTACCTGAGAGGCCGGGCAGCCACCTCCCGCAGGGCTTTACTGTGGAGTTTCAGGACAAAAGGCAGTTCAGTGTTGGTTTCCCAAGGTAGTGTTTTGTGTCACCGTGTTCGGGTGAAATAGGGACGTGTTTCTGAGTTGTTGGCATTGAGCTCACGTATGTGCTTGTGGATTCGCAGACCATGTTTGCTCAGTTTCAACACAGCCGGGAGAAGGCCCTCCCGTCGGACAACGTGCGGCGTGCCCTGGCCGAGAGCTTCCGGGACGAGCAGCGGTTCCAGCTGGGCCTCATGGACGACGCTGCCGAGTGCTTCGTAAGGACCTGGGCCGCCTCCTGCGAGGGCGCGCGTCCCGAGAGCGATGCACAGACAGCGACACGGCAGAGCGCGGCGGGGTCCGAGCGCCTGCGCGGCTCCGGCGGGGCTCCTGGACCTCTGGTTCTGCCCTTCGTGCTGCTCTGCGCTGACCTGAGTGTTAGGCTCTAGGCCCTAGGGTATTTAAAATGTATTTGTTAGAGCAAAAGGTTATTCAGGCAAAGACATCACTTAAGCTGGCGCCCTGCCTCCCGGCCTGCAGGTGTGCAGCCTGCCAGCCTGTCTGTGGGAGCTCTCGGGCAGCAGGGCTGGCACCCACCTCGTGGCAGGCCGAGAGGCCCTGGGCAGCGCCGTGTGGACGAGCAGAGCGTTCGTGGTCCGTCCGTCACGGACCTTCTGCACCTCCTCAGTGTCTGAGAGAGAGGCTGCCTGTACGTCAGACGCACCGTTTCTCTCCGGCTTGTGTCCAGTCAGCAAGTCCCTGTGCTTCTCAGAGCCCTGTGAGGGTCTGGCCTTAGTTCTCCGGTCCCCTCCTCTCAGACTCCAGGGAAGCTCCTTCCTGAGGCCGTTCAGCCTAGCCCCTTGCAGTCTGGTTTTTTAAATATGCTGTTACTGATCTCAGAGAGGAAGGGAGAGGGAGAGAGAGAGAAACATCAATTAGGAGAGAGAACCATTAAGTGGCTGCCTCCTGCATTCCCCCTACTGGGGATTGAGCCCACAACCTGGGCATGTGCCCTTGGCTGGAATTGAACCTGGGACCCTTCTGTCTGCAGGCCAATGCTCTATCCACTGAGCCACACCAGCAGGGGCCTTACAGGTTTTTTTTAATGGCCCTGGTTAATATCATTTTCTTCAGTCTATTGCTTGCTCTTCTAATATTTCTGTGACTCGAATCCAAACTCTCTCCTGACACGTAAGGCCCTTCAGTTGAACTGTAGGCCTGGCTCTGCGTCCCTGACTGTCCTGTGAATGAGTGATCACAGTCGCCTTTGCTCCCGCCCCGAAATACTATGACTCTGATGTATTCAGTTGTCCAGGTGCAGCCCAGTCGTGCCTGCTGGATGCGGCAGGTCACAGCCCCCTCAGTGCTCCCTGTCTCTGTCATTGTTGTTATCGAGCATCTTCTCTGCTCCTTGGACAGGGCGACAGCTCCTTGACGGAGGACTGCTCAGCACACTGGCCATGTTGACTAAACTTCCAAAACAGCAGACACATCATGAAATAGGCTTTTACAGTTCTCATCTTAATAATCCACCCATTGCTCTAAACATAAACATACGGGGCACAATACGTCTGTGGATGTAAGTCACATGGACTGTTCAGAATGGTGTTTAATTAACAGGAAACATAGGAAACTTTTCTGGTATTAAGTCCTAGATGTCAGCTACCATAACCTGAATTTTAAAAGGACTTTTAAAATCTTTATTAAAACCACACGTTTCTTTTGTTAAATTTGTGAAGTTTATTCGATTTGTTGTCGGCTGATTCCACGAGGTGAGCAGTTGACAGCGTTCGAGGTGTCACTGAGCAGGAAGCTGGCACTAAGGCGGGACCGCCTAGATCTGGCCCCGGGAGACCGGAAAGGCTACGCTTGGGAGAATGTGAAGGCTGTCTGTGTTTGGAAGTGTCTCTGCCAGATTGACCGCTCACGTGTCTTCTGCTTTTCGCAGGAAAACATCTTGGAGAGGATCCACTTCCACATCGTGCCCAGCCGGGACGCAGACATGTGCGTCTCCAAGTGCTGTGTCGCGCACCGGAAGTTCGCCATGACGCTGTACGAGCAGGTGAGGCGCCGCCCTCGCCCCTCAATGCCGTCTGTGTTCCACGAGCCGTGCATTAAGCGTCTGTTTCTGCCGCAGTGCGTGTGTCGTAGCTGTGGGGCCTCATCAGACCCTCTGCCTTTCACAGAATTTGTGCGGTACATTTCGACGACAGCCCTGTGGTAAGAACCGGAAAGCACCTTCACCAAAGATTTAATAGCGCAGCGAGGCACAGCGAGCATTTACTTTGTAAGCCACGGCACCCGTGAGTATCTGCTCTCTGTCTGGGACTCAGGCTGCGACCGTCAGAGGTACTGAGTGGTATCTGTCTCAGTTGGATATTTCTAAGTTAGCCCGATGCATCTACCACTTAGTGAAATGTGCAAAACACGAGTCAAAATTCACGGTTGTTCACATTGAGAGCCCGTCTTTGGAACAGGGCAGGAGGGCTGGAAATGATAAGCAGCCCCAGCTGGTGTGGCTCAGTGGTTGGGCGTTGTCCCATGCACAGAGAGGTTGCTGGTTTGATTCCTGGTCAGAGCACATGTGTGGGCTCAATTCCCTGTGGTGGGCGTGCAAGAGGCAGCTGCTCACTGTTCTGCTCTCACACCGATGTTTCTCTCCTTTCTCTTTCTCTAAAAAAACAAATATTTTTTAAAAAATGACAAGCGAGTGGTCAGGGAGCTGCACCCAACTCCCTAACTTTGGCAGGTGTCACATTTGCAGTGGCCGTGTCCCCTGTCAGCACTGCGTGTGCCTCTGTGGTGATGGAAGCTGCACCTGACCCCCTAGCTTCGGCAGGTGTGACTTTGCAGTGGCCACGTGCCCGGTGGTGATGGAAACGGGAAGCAGGAAAGAAAGAAAACAGTGAACACAGCCTCCTCGGGGTCTGCGGCCTCAGGCCTCACCATCACTGGCATAGGGATTGGCCTGGCTTGCCCGCCTGCCCCACTCTGCCTGCCCAGGACACAGTACTAGTTAGGGACCCAGAAGTATCCCCAGACTTCACACAACAGCCATCACTTGAACACTCCCGCAGGCAGTGGAGAGAATTCTATTTGCTGTGTGCACACACTACTAAGGCCATGGTTGGCAAACTGTGGCTCACATGTGGCTCTTTGGCCCCATGAGTGTGGCTCTTCCACGAAATGCCATGGCCTGAGCGAGTCTATTTTGAAGAAGTGGTGTTAGAAGAAGTTTAAGTTTAAAAAATTAGGCTCTCAAAAGAAATGTCAATCATTGTCCTGTTGATATTGGCTCTGTGGACTAATGAGTTTGCTGACTACTGGGCTTAGGTCACAGGTGCTTGCAGGTGTTCTAGTGCAGGAGCCAAAGGTGGTCGGTGATCCTGTCAGATCCGTCCGCTGGTTGGTCACTCAGGGCCCAGTGTTTGCTCTGCAGAGTGAGGCTCGTGTTCCTCACTCACCCACTCCGTGTTCAGACTTCCTCCTCTGTGGGTGCAGCACAGCATTCTAAACACTGCTGGGTAATAGCAACTGGGCTATTGGTGTGCTTAGCATCTTTCTTGTGTGGACAGAGTTGGGGGAACGTCGGTTTAAAGAAACATTCCCTGAACTGCAGTCATTTGTGGCTCGTTTTGTTCTCTGTGTGAAGAGGAGGGTGGTAGGAACAGGAGAGCCTGCGCTAAGGGTGAGGGTGAGCCTTCGCTTTGAAGCTCCTGTGCAGGCGCCTGAGCAGGCACTGAGGTCACACAAACCGGCACTCCATCCGTGTGCCTGGCCCACGCCCCAGATCTCAAGAGCCCAGACTATGAATTCTGATCGTCCCTTTTGGGGGTATTGAGGATTGAATATTAATTATTGCATGCTTACTATGTTCCAGGCTTTACATAAATGGTCACTTTAACCTTAACACCACCATTTCATTGATGCAGACATAGGTTTTTATAGAGAGCCAGGTGGGTTCCATTTCATTCAGTATTGGCTGTGCACTCCCCGACAGCCGGTCTGATTGTGCTCTCTGTCCCCGGGTGGAGTGCGTTAGGAGGAGGGTGTGTGAGCCGTGACTGAATAGTGTATGCTTTTCCGCCGAACCGTCCACTGTGTCCAGCCCTGGACACGGACATTACAGAGAGTCTGGAATGGAAACGAGTAAGGGTTTTGAGCGCATCGCAGTCTCTGGAAATGTGTGAACACTTGCCTAAAGAGGCTTGGTACGTGTATGGAAAAGGTTGACTCATGTAGCTGCCCCTGGAGCCGGGGTCCGAGAGGGAGCCTCCCCGAAGTCGGTTAGGCCCAACCTGTGCTCATGCCCCTCAGTAATTGGTCATAATTTAAGTCATCATGTAAAACAGATATTGGACTTACAGCTACCTTTAGTGTGTTTATGGAGCTTACCTCATTCATGCGGTTCCAAATAGTGCTATAATTTTTGTGCTATTCCATTCTTGCCCTGGTTTTTTATCACATACCTGCCAGATTTCATGGTTTTCACTTTATGGAAATTCATGGTTAATTTTTTTTTTTACACAAAATCATGTTTTAAGACAGAAAAAAGTGATCCTGCATATATTGATAACTTAATATTTTTCATACGTAATTTCATACATAGGCCAAATTTAGGACTGCTTCTTTTTTTTGTAGCAACGAAGTTGGAAGAATGACGGACAGGCATGAGCGTGTGAAGCCCGAATTGTTTGCGGAATTGTTGCAAGCAGCGAATACGACAGATGACTATCGGAAGTGCCCCGTAAGCATAGTTTTGGACTGTCAGTGGCTTGTGTGTGCGCTTAAAGGAGACACCCAGAGTTATTATGTAATGTTGATTGTCTGTGGAATTACTTATAAGAATTTGTTTTTGCAATGTTATTTTAGGTAACTATACCAGGTGAGCTATTTATCTCAGCACTAGTTCTTTAAACACTCAACTTTAGAAGGACTTAAGGTAGCATATGTCAGTTTTTTTTAAAGTTCAGAAATCTATCATTTCACTAAAGACAAAATCAATTTCTTTTTTTTTTCCCCAAATGGTGTCATTCTTTTCTGATGTACTATTATTAATCATTTTCAGGGGTTCTATTTCTGATTTTTTTAGACTGAATTCTTGTTTTAACATACTTAACAAAAATATTGAAGAAAGCACTTTGATTTAAAATAAACTTCCTGTTTAATCAATAATTAAGAGAACTAGTTTGTTAGAAGTTTATTTTAACAGGCTAAATAAATAAATTTGCAATATAAAGAGTGTCACTGCATCATGTCACAGGCGCCACCTGTGGAATATGTTTCAGTAATTCCTAAACTTGCCTCTTGTGTTTTCCTTTAGAGTAACTGTGGCCAGAAAATAAAGATCCGCCGCGTCCTGATGAACTGCCCGGAGATCGTCACCATCGGCCTGGTCTGGGACTCTGAGCACTCGGACCTGACCAGCGACGTGGTTCGGAGTCTGGCCACTCATCTCTCTCTTCCCGGGGTATCCGCTCTTTCCTTCTCCTCCTCGTTTTGTACTCGGGACACACTTTCATCAGCTGGTTTCTCAGAACGAAGTTCTCTTTCTAAGGGGAAGGAGGTTCAGATGGACTCTTGGAGCTGACCCAGTCAGGCTAGCTGGACTTCCTCAGAGCCCAGGCCGGGAGCGGTTTTCACTTCTGTCTCCTGCTGCGTCTCTTACCACTCTAGAGTGATGGAGATGTGATCGTAACTGTAAATGTGAGCTGCTTGCTTATATGCTTTTACCATCTTAGTTAACTATTTTGAATTGGTTGATGTTACAATTTTTTAGAGAATCATCTTTTAGGTGACACAAGTTTTAATGTATGTTCGAATATGTGATTCAATCAAGAACTATCAGAAAGTGGGGGATTATTTCATATTTTGAGTCTGTAGATGTAACGTGTCTGTTCTCTGGAGACACTGTATTACTGGGCTAAAGTTAGGGCCTTCCTGTAATGCCCTGGCAGGCGATTGGAAGTGTAACTGGGGGCATGCAGGGCCGTGGTGCCTTCACACCAGGCAGCGCTGGGTGGGCAGCATGCCCAGGAGGTGTGTTTATGGGGCGTCAGATACATGATAGCACATCACTGCTCTTCACTTTTGAGGATACAGTCCTAACTGTGCATTGCTAATTTTTCCAACAGCTGTTTTATAGGGTTACTGATGAAAATGCCAAAAACAGTGAACTTCACCTTGTTGGTCTGATATGCTACACCAGCCGGCACTACTGTGCCTTCACGTTTCACACCAAGAGTTCCAAGTGGGTGTTTTTCGATGACGCAAATGTGAAAGAGGTAGGTGACACTTCTGTGAACTGGGATACTTACTGTGACTTACGCTGTTTAGGAATAAATGTTGTAATAATAATCTATAATAATAAAAGCATAATATGCTAATTAGGCCTGATATCCTTCTGGACGACCTTTTAGACAAAGCCGGGTCTGCGAGGGAAGCTCAGGTCCCCGGTGCTTGCTAACAGCCAGAGGAAAGCCCAGGTCCTGGGTACCGAAGGGAAGCTGGTGCCAGCAGCCAGGGGAAGGAAGGCCTGCTCTTGCACTAATTTCATGCAACAGCTTCTAATCTACACCAATAAAAGAGAAATATGCAAATTGACTGTGCCTTTGCTATATCCACCAGCCAATCAGGAGTAAGTTATACAAGTTAACTCAACAAAGATGGTGGGTTGATTCGCATACGCAGGTGCCAAGTGGCTGGGGATGAGGTGAGATGCTTGCATCGTTGCCATGGTGTTCTGCACTGCCCCAGCCACACAGGGCCTCTGAGCAACCTGGGAAGGCGGGGCCAGAGCGGAAAGAGATGGCTCCAAGGCTGGAGCTGAAAGAGCCGGCCCCGAGGCCGGTAGCCAGGGAAAGGAAGGCCCATTTTTGTACAAATCTTTGTGCATTGGGCTTCTAATCTATACTGATAATAGGGTAATATGCTAATTAGACTTCTGGTTGTTTGGTCCTCCTTCCGGGAAAAGCCACGGTGGTGGAGGCGGAGGCAGAGGTGGTTAGGGACAATCAGGCCAGTAGGGGAAGGTCAGTTAGGGGTGATCAGGCTGGCAGGCAAGTGAGCGGTTAGGAGCCAGCAGTCCTGGATTGCAAGAGGATGTCCAACTGCCCGATCCCTGAGGGATCCCGAATTGGAGAGAGTGCAGGCCGGGCTGAAGGGACATCCCCTCTCCACCCGTGCACGAATTTAGTGCACCAGGCCTCTAGTATCGATATAATAGTGACAGTGATAAAATAAAGGTTTCTGTATGCAGGCAGTCCTCAGGTTACATCTGAGATCCATTCCTACGGCGCAACATAACTCAATTTCTCCATAAGTTGGAACCCACCTACATAAGTACCTTTGTCACTCATATGGAGCACATACACAGCAGTAATGAAGTGAAAGTGTAACAGAAAATTAAAAGAAAGATAATTCCTCTGAAACTGGTTTGTCTCAGTGGATAGAACGTCGGCCTGCGGACTAGAAGGTCCCAGTTTGATTCTGGTCAAGGGCATGTACCTTGGTTGCGGGCACATCCCTGGTAGCTAATCGATGATTCTTTCTCATCGATGTTTCTAACTCTTATCACTCTCTCTTCTTCTCTGTAAAAAATCAATAAAATATATTTAAAAAAAGATAATTCCTCACCTTTACTTATGTTAAATAAATAATAAAAAACAAAAAAGCACATATGTACTAAGTAACTGAACAACTGAATGACCAGTTGCTGTGATGTGCACTGATCACCAGGGGGCAGACACTCAAGCAGGGGCTGTATCCTGGCGGTCAGTGCGCTCCTACAGCCAACTTCCTGTGGTTCCTCCTGGCTGAGGGACTCTACCCATGCATGAATTCGTGCACTGGTCTCTAGTAATTATATAAAACTAGAGGCCTGGTGCACAAAATTCATGCGGGGTGAGGGGGTGTCCCTCAACCCAGCCTCTGCTTGCTCTGTTGGGATTTATGTATCTTCTATAATTGAAACTTTGTAGCCTGAAGCAGAGGTCTGGGCCAGCCAGGGTATGCGGAAAGCTTGGCTTCCTCCATCGCCGGGGAAATCCAAGTCTCCCTCCTGCTCTCTGTGGCTGTAGCCATCTTGGTTGGGTTTATTTTCATGCATATTGGCTCCTGATTGGCTGATGGGTGTAGCAGAGTGATAATTTGCATATTACTCTTTTATTAGATAGGATGATTATTAGAAGTAAATGCTTTTATAAAATAAGTGAATTTAATGACAATTCTTGGAATCCTTTTATTAACTTGAAATCTGATTTTTTCTAAGCTGAATCCATATCTAGAATAATAAAAGATCGACAAATAAATGTTAGTGTAGCCACCAAGGATCCATATGTACCATCCTTCTGTCTGGTACACAAAAGATTTGGACAGTTCACCAAAGGAGATAGGTGAATAGCTCTTGTGATGATACTTGGCATGATTGGGCACAAAGAGACACATTCAGTTCACAGTGAGGTTCAGACTCAGCCGTTAGGAGGATAAATCCCAAAGCCCGACCTCACTGGCAGTGTGGATAGCAAGCAGCCAATCCCTGACGCAGGCGCGTGGCAGTGCCGACCTCACCCGGAGGGTGGAGGACATCGAGCAGCCAGATCTCCGATGCAGGCGCGTGGCAGTGCCACATGGAACAGCCACCTTAGAGGTGTGTCAGCGTCTTGCACGTGTAACCTTACCGTGCAGCCAGCAGCACCCCTCCCTGAGAATGTGCCCCCACACAGTCTCCCTTGAATGTCCGTGGGAGTCTTATCCTGTAATGTCCATCAGTGCGTGAGCAGATAACCACCGCGTGGTCCAAGCGCAGTGGAGCCTCATGCCCCTCAGACAGCAGTGAGCTGACAGGTGTGGGACATCTCAAACCACTGTGCCGATGACAGAAGCGAGACTCACGGCCAAATACCAGTTCCACTGACGCAGAATCCCCTGGAAGGAGGAGAGCATGACGGAAGCCACTGCAGAGGGGAGCGAGGAGCGAGGCTGCACGCAAGTCTGTGTGCACGTCAGAGCGAGGGGCTTGCACAGTGTACCAGCGTAGTTCATGATTGTTCTTAGGAAGCCAATGGGGAACTCTGGTACTTACGTTCTAAAAGCAGCTTCGCTCGGATTCCTTCAGGCTTTGCTGTAGCAGCTTATTAAGAGGCTCCGCCTGATTCTGTGCGCAGCGCCTTTGGCCATCCTACTGGCATCCACGTCCTTTAAATTGTCAAAGCTTGAAGGAGGACCTGGGTGTGCAGTCACCCTGTGAGTTTTATATTTGTTTTGCTTTCATGTCACACTAGTTCCTCAAGTATGTCAGCGTCCCAGATGAGGAGGGTCAGCGGCTAAGTGTGTATCATATTTTCCGGCGTATAAGACGACTTTTGAAACGAAAAAAAGTCAACCAAAACTCAGGGGCAAAAGACCAAAATTGCACAAAAATTACCTGCAGATCTTGACGGCAAAGTAAGTCTTTTCTTTGAAGTGGGAGGTAGTCTTATACAGCGAATATAGGCCTAAACCTATGTTTTAACTGTAAAATTAGGGGGTCATCTTATACGCTGGAAAATATGGTAGTTTAAAAAATTCCTCAGACATTTTTACAGCCCTTCCTTCCCTGCAAAAGCCACCATTCCAGAATGCTTTAGTTCCTGTTCGTTCGGTTCTGTTTTGTTTTTAAATCAACATTATCCTATCTAATAAAAGAGTAATATGCAAATTAACCATCACTCTGCTACAAAGATGGTGGAGCTCATAGTAGAGTGGGGTGCTGACCGCAGAGGGAGGAAAGGCTGTGGTCAGATCGCTGGGCTGCTGTGCTGGGGGCGTGCTCTGAGCTGCTGCCACGCGGCTTGGGACACGCTTCCAGCCCAGCAGGCAGAAGCCCAGCTGACACAACCGGGCCACTGGGCTGGGTGCTGCTCAGAGCTGCTGCTGTGAAGCTTGGGGCATGCCCACGGCCCAGCAGACAGAAGCCCAGCTGACAGCGGGGCTGCTGGCCCTAGCAGTCCCCAGCAGCCCCAGCCAGTGGACAGAAGCCCTGCGGACACAATGCAGGGGTCCTCTGTGCGTGAGCTGCAGAGGAAACACCTTTTCTGAGGACTCAGTGGCTAAGCTCCCTGCAGGCTCCCTCTCAGTGTTCTTTGTGACTTGGGTAATAAGAATGCAAGAAGGTGGTCTAGGGGTTTTTCCACCTCATTCCTGGAGGGAAAACTAAGGTCTGCTGCTGGAGGGGCTAAGAAGTGTCATATCCTGCCCTAGCCAGTTTGGCTCAGTGGATAGAGCTTCAGACTGTTGATCACAGAGTCTGGGTTCTATTCTGATCAGGGTCATGTACCTAGGTTGCAGGCTCCTCCCTGGCCAGGGCTCATGCAGGAGGCAACCAGTCGAAGTATCCCTCTCACATTGATGTTTCTCTCTGTCTTTCCCTCTCTCTTCCAAGCTCTCTAAAAAGCAGTGGAAACATATCCTCAGGTGAGGATAAAAGAGAAAGGTCATATCCTATGAAAGACACATCTTAAAAACGCCTAAACAAAGTTGTCATTTTTTCTTGGTGAAGGGACTAGAGTTGGTGTTGATGAAAAACCTTGGCAGCTGTGACAGTGGCAGCAGCAGCAGGGTGATGGCACTGGCACCTTCCCCTGATCAGCCCAGTCACCTCCTGCAGAGGAAGGCCAGACTCTGCCTTAGGCCTGCTCCCCATCAGTAGGACATCTCCTGAGGACTCCTAGTCTGTGGGGGATTGGGGAGGGGGGCAGGCTGGGCTGAGGGACATCCCCTCCCAAGTGCACGAATTTTGTGCACCAGGCCTCTAGTAGAGGTATAACTTACAAACATTAAAGTGCACCCATGGAAGTGTTTTGGCAACTGTATACACATCTCCACACCATATAGCACAAAGCATACCCTTCCCCTGCATGGTGTCACATTCCTGGTGGGCCCCTTCCCTCCATCCCCCCTCCGTGCGCCCCGCCCCAGGAATCCTGATGCTCTGTGGATTGTTCTGCTCCGTCTTCACCATCGTGGGAATGGCCTTCCCAGTACACATCCCTCTGAGGCTGGATGCTTCATCAAGCACATACCTTTTAGGATTTTCGCGTGCGGCGTTCCGTCCCGCGGCTGTGTAGAACAGGGGTCCTGTTCAGGTGGGAAGAGTCTGGGAGTGAACACGTTTTCCCATTGCTCCCAGGACCAGGGGGGTGTCTGGGTGTCTGCTGCGTGTGTTCAGCTGTACTTGACCTGACAAATGCTGTCCACAGAGACTGAGCATAGCACCCCCTGCTGGGAGTCTCAGGTAGCCTTCCAGGAACCCGGGGCTCACTGTGGTTTTCCCTGCTCTTCCCTTTGGTCAGCAGGAATCTGCTTCCTGGCCATTCTTATGTCTCCAGTGACCTGTCGGTTCAGATGATTCGCCCATTTTTCATATTGGATTATTCCCTTCTTAATGAGCTGTAGGAATTCTGTACCTGGCACAGTGCCCCTTTATTGGGTGGGGTTTTTGTTACGTTATATTTCCATTTTGTTAATAGTGTTTTTCATGGGTCAGAAGTAATTTACTCATTTCATGGAATCCAATTTTACATGTTTTCTTTGGTTTGATGTCCTATGTAAGATATTTTTACTTTCCTTGGGGTTAATGTTTTCTCTCATTTTCTTGTGTAAACTGTAGAGATTTTACGTGACTCCTGAGTTCATTTTTGGGCTTCATGTGTAGTTGTGTCTTTTCTTTTTCCTCCGATTGCTGTAGAATCATTTGTGGAATTGACTTATATTTTCCCATTAAAATGCCTTTAATCTTTGTCAAAAGGCAGTTGACCATGTGCATGGAAAGCTTTCTAAAATTTGTTATCCAAATCTTGATATAGAGTGTATAATTTTTCCCATCAATTTTTAATATATATTTTTCTTGATTTCAGACAGGAAGGGAGGAGAGAGATATAGAAACATCAATGATAAGAGAATCATTGATTGGCTGCTTCCTGCACGCCCCCTACTGGGGATCAAGCCCGCAACCCAAGCATGTGCCCTGGACCGGAATCGAACCCGAGTCCCTTCAGTCTGCAGGCTGATGCTCTATACGCACTGAGCCAAACCAGCTAGGACAGCCCATCAATTTTTTAATGTTAATGTTTGAAGAGTTCTTAGACTCATTAAATAAAATAAAGTTACTCATATAATACAACGCACAGCTGAACGGCTGGCTAGCATCTGGATGTTGTTAAACATCTTTAATATGCAAATCAATTCAGTCCCTACCTTTCCGGATAGCAGGCTGCTGACAGGTTGGTTTTGCTCCCTGTGGTTTTAAAGGTAGGAACACGGTGGAAGGACGTGGTCTCCAAGTGCCTCCGGGGCCACTTCCAGCCCCTGCTGCTGTTCTATGCCAACCCCGACGGCACGGCCGTTTCCACCGAAGACGCGCTCAGGCAGGTGGTCAGTTGGCCGCAGCAGAAACCCGGGGCGGACAGTATGGGTAAGTCTCGATGTTTAGTGTTTTTCTTTCTCACAGTCACACTAGGAATACTCATATCCTGTATAATAAAAGGCTGATATGCAAATAGACTGAACAGCGGGACTACAGGTTGCTATGACTGTGCACTTAACAGGACCACGAGGTGGCTGATGCTCAACGCAGGAGCTGCCCCCTGGTGGTCAGTGCGCGCCATTCAGCCAGAAGCCGGGCTGTGGCAGGAGTGCAGCAGCAGTGGCAGGAGCCTCTCCCTCCTCTGTGGCAGCGCATCATCATCATCTTCCCTGACCAGTGGCCTCACAGGCACCCTGGGAGCCACCCATGACAGTGGTCACGTGGGCACAGAGGGGCTGCCCAGCTGTGAGCTCTTCCTAGCAGGAAGCTGGGATGCAAAGCGAGTTGGTCCCTGGGAAAGTCCAGAGCAGCGGGGAGTCCGTGGGCATTGCACAGCACGTGGAGATCCTTGGGAGATGTCACGCCTCTGAGTTAGCAATTGTCCACAGCATCAAGCATATCTGAAAGGATGACTTGGCGCCTCCTCTGGTAGGAGGAGGAAAGGGATGATGCGTTTGTGCTTGTCTTTTGTAGGATCTGAAACGCCCTCGATTTATAAGTCAGAGAATCCCAAAGAGAATGGATTTGGTGGTCAGGCCAAACCGAGAGAAAGCCAGAAATTTCAGACAGATGACATTTCATCCTTCAGTCGGAGCCACAGCCAGGCGAGCGGCGGCAGAGGAGCAGGTAAGTGTTCTGACTGCGTCTTCGCAGGCCCCGAGGAGGCGAGCTTGCCCGGGAGGGGCCAGGCGACAGTAACAGCAGCAGCAGAGCTCTGCCTTCCCACTGATGGGGTCTCAGACAGGCAGCCTCATCTGGACAGCCCGACTCGCCACTGCCCGAGCTCATGGCTCCGAGCCCTCGTGGTGGAGGCAGTCTGGGCTGTTAGCAAACACTGGCCTTGCCTTCATGGTGTCCGTTACCAACTCCAGAGGAAAGACACGACTTAACATTCGGCTCACACGCCAACACCAAATTACACTCCGTGACTGCAGTGGTAGTTAACAGCTACTGTTATAGTTTATTGCTAACCGCATTGTTATCCTATTATTGTCATCCGCAACTTTGATTTTCACAGCAGCACAGCTTAGAGGTACCCTAAACTCCACATGGGTAGGTGTTCAGGATGATTTGTAAGCAACTTAAAAAAATTAGTTGTTGTTAATCCTCGCCCGAGGATATTTTTTCATTGATCTTTAGAGAGTGTGGGAGGGAGGTGGAGAGACAGAGAAACATTATGTACGAAGACACAGCAATCGGTTGCTTCCCACATGAGCCCCGACTAGGGCTGGGGATCAGGCCTGCAGCGAGGCACATGCCATTGGCAGAATCAAGCCTGGGACCCGCCCGTCCACAGGCCTGCGCTCTGTCCACTGAGCCACACCAGCTAGGGCTGTTTTTTTGTTTGTTTTTAAAATTGATTTCAGAGAGAGGAAAGGAGAGAGAGAATTAGCCATCTGCTGCTTCTTGCATGCCCCCCCTCCTGGGGATCAAGCCTATGGGAATCGAACCATGACCTGATTCATGGGTTGACTTTCAATCACTGAGCCACACCAGCCCGGCAACTTTTTAATATATTAGTGAAATAATGTCTAACAAAAAAGATAGCCCATAATCAAGGAAGGTGAGATTCAGAATTAACAGTCATCAACAAAGTACAGGAAATGCTTTTTAAAATTCTGAATGGAAATATACCCCTTCCTTCTTATGTATTGTTGATACTTTTAGATTAAGCCATTATCTGTTTTCCTAAAGATACCTGGTTTGAGCCCAGGAACTGTGTGTGTGTGAACACAAACATGACATCAGGCAGCTCGGCACACTCTGTGTCTACATTGTGAGGGATGGGAACTTGGGCAGCTTGTTACTTCTGCTTCCCAAGGCAAATGTGCCTGTGCTTATGTCCTCTCACCAACGAAGTGAGTTAGGACACATGGCGACCGTCATCGGCCTTTAGCTCTTACATTTCAACAGAAGCTCACTTCCCTCGCACACCCACTTCAGGTGCTTTACAACAAGTGTTTTAGTAACACTCGTCTCCGTTGTCAAGAGAATCACACTAACTTTAGTTAGACATGTGTGCTTTGTTTGAACACAGAGGTCTTAAACGTTCCATGCAGTTCAGTGTGTGCACGTAGTGAGCAGCTAGAAAGCCATGTGCTTCCTGACCGGATGCCTGGTTCCCCTACAGCCAGGCCGGCTCCCGGCGACGCCCGGGAGAAGATGAGGGGCCTCTCCAGGGAGTGTGCCCTGAAGGCGCTGGAGCAGAGGCGCCTCCTGTGTGCACCACGGAGGGATGCGGGTCGGCACCCAGGTGAGGAGCGGGGGCGGGCAGGCTTGCTGGGAAGGGCCGCTGTAGCCTTATGTGAACACTGCATTGTGCAACTGAATACAGTTCAGCCATGTTAAATACATCCTATGTGTTTGTTTGCATACGGTAATATGGCTTCTCTAATACTCCTGTTGGACCTGTAGGTAGAAAATTTTCATTCTTGTTTAATTTTAATCTGGCATACTTCGCTGTTTTAGCTTTAAAAAATGAATAAAAGTTAATTTAAAAAAAATTTTTAAATATATTTTTATTGATTTCAGAGAGGAAGAGGGAGAGGGAGAAACATCAATTATGAGAGAGAAGCATTGACTGGCTGCCTCCTGCACTCTCCCTACTGGGGATCGAGCCCACAGCCCAGGCATGCGCCCTTACCGGGAATTGAACCATGCCCTCCTGGTGCTGAGCCACACTGGCTGGGCAATTTATTTAAATTGTCATTAAAATTATTGTCAGCCCACTGGTGGTACCCTCAGTGACGGGCTCGCTTTCCTGGCACCCCGACCTCCCCTGGTCGCCATCGTCATCTCGTTTACCGCCAGCCTGCCTGTCCCAGCGTGTTCCCTGTGGCCATCCGGTCTCACCGAGGCTGCAGCCTGTAAACAGAGTGCGAGGTTAACCTTTGTGTGGACAGCCACAGCAGAGTCCTTTCCGGGAATCGCTGGGCTAAGGGTCTGTTTTGGACTTGGTTGCTGTGGCTCAGTTGCTTTCATAATGGGAACCCGTCCACGGTCCCCCCACAGCGACTGGGCGTCTATCCCTCCCCCTCCACAGCAATCATTCTCACAGACATTGGACAGTCTGCTGGCATAAGAGATAGAACATTTTTAAAAAAATATATATTTTATAGATTTTTTACAGAGAGGAGGGGAGAGAGATAGCCAGAAACGTTGATGAGAGAGAAACATCGATCAGCTGCCTCCTGCACATCCCCCACCGGAGATGTGCCCGCAACCAATGTACATGCCCTTGACTGGAATCGAACCTGGGACCTTTCAGTCCGCAGACCGATGCTCTACCACTAAGCCAAACCGGTTTCGGCATATTTTTGTTTTTTATGATAATCATTAACCATGAATGAGGTTGAATACTGTTTTTTAAAAAATTATCCTATGATCTACTTGAGAGATACTTTTAAAAACCAGTATGTAACATCTATAATAATAAAAGGTAAAATGCTAATTACACCAGCTGTCATTCCGCACATCCTTCCTGATGAAGCCACGGCCTGAGGGAAGCAGCCCATGTCCTGGGTGCCTGCTGGGAGCCGGTGCGGCAGCCGGGAAAGGAAGGCCCCAAGTTTTCGTGCGCTGGGCCTCTAGTTTAATTTATAAATGCCTCAGTTAGCGCAGGACTAGCGCTCTGGATGGTAGAATCTGGGTGGGAGTGGCTTGTGACAGAGTGGCCCTGAGAGTAGCATGTGTCTTTCCCTTTTGTTTTAAAGATGCGCTGGATGAAGACCTGCCACGTGTCCAGCCTGGATCACCTCCTGCCCCGAATGGCTTGCGGCAGTTCGGCAGTCGCCCCGCATCGCCCAGTCAGGGGCGGGTGCCGTGCGGACAGGCCCCCCCCACCCCGAGCCGGGCGCCTGTGCAGGGCCCGAGTGTGGGGAGGCCCCCGGCTCCGGGTCCAGCGGAGCAGACCCCCCTGGCCAGCCCGGAGCAGGGCGACAGCGGCCCCGGGTACGAGACAGACAGCAGCCTGGACTCTCGGGGTAAAGGCAGCAGCCGCCGCAGCAGCAGCAGCAGCAGGAGCCGGAGCCGTGGCTGGAAGCCCATGAGAGAAGCGCTGAACGTGGACAGTGTCTTCAGCGACAGCGAGAGGAGACAGCACAGCCCGCGGCACAAGCCCGGCACCAGCCACCCCCCCAGGGGCAGCGGGGACCAGGGTCCCGGCCGCTGGCCCACGGAGCCGCCCCAGCAGACGAGCTTGATGACCATCTACGAGGACGAAGTGCGGCAGGAGCTGGGCAGCAGGAGTTCCCTCCAGGGCCCGGGGAAAGGCCTCGTGGACACGGGCGTCCCTGCCGATGTGTGGCCGGGGCCGAGGACCGAGTCCGGCTACGAGAGCAGCGACCACGTCAGCAGCGGCTCGGCCAGCCTGGACTCGCCGGGCACGGACGGCGCCGGGAGCGCGGAGCCCAGGTAGCTCGGGCACGGAGCCCGCCGGCTCTCGTTAATTATTCGAAGTGGTTTCCAAAGTCCAGGTTCGTGAGGTGTGATGGGAAGAACGTGAGCTCACAGGAACGACCCCCGGGGACACTCTTTGTTCGTTATGTCAAGTTTTTATTTTCAATGGTTCTTTCCGATCCCAACACACAGCTGTGTAGGAAATGGAGATAGAGGAATGCATTCTCATGGTCAGCACGTTGGAAACTATTGGAAGATGCCGCAGGGCGTAAAGCACAGCTTTAAGTGGGTTGTTTAATTCCTCCAACTAGTTCATGGCTATTCTCCCTCTCTGATGTGTGACTCGGAAGTGGGGATATTTCACACTGTCACAACCCCTGCCGTGGAGTGTGGTTTTCCTCAGAGCGAAGCATGCAGCCAGGCCGTAGGTTTGTGCTGTCGCTGTCCTGGGAACCCTGTCCCCAGCCTGCTCAGCAGCTGGCTTTGTGGGTCAGACTAGCAACTGTTTCTGCTTTTAATTCATCCAAAACATTCTGATTTGATATTAGATGGTGTTCTACCACCTGCATTACTAAAAGGCCAGATTTGCAGAAATCAGCTGCCCATGTTCCATTACCATGGCCGGGAACTTGTTGTCAGCCTAGTTGCTCTGGGAAGGGGTTGCTCTGGGAAGGGGTTGCTCAGGGAGGTAGAAAGGTTCAGGGCTTCGTAGCCTTGGGTTTTAATTATTGGGCAGATTAAGTTTCCTTCCTCGCCCTGATCTGCTCTGCCCTGAAGTGCTAGGGCGGTGAGTGTCTGCTGAGAGGTAAGTGAAATTGTATGCGTAAACCATTGCTTAACGGGTGTTGTTTCTTTCTTTGTCTCAGAGGAAACTGAAATAATAATTCATGGTGGCTGATGAGTCTAGTGTGTGTTTTGTTCTATTTTTTAGTGACCAGAGTAAGATAAGCAACCGAACTGCAGAGCGTGTGAACGGTACCTCCCAGCAGAGTAAAAGCCACCTGGAAGGTAAGCTTTTATTCACATAGATTGCACTTGTGGTCCTAAGAGTAAGGAAGCTAAAGCAGTCCTGTCCCTGAGAAGTTGGGAGCCTGAGGTGGAAGTGGCGGAGCCCGTGCTGGGAGCCTTTGAGGAGACAGGAAGGGGAGTGTCCGCTCGGTGAGGACAGCAGAGTCCAGGGAACAGGGTCCTAGCGCAGTGTGTGTGGTTCATGTCGTGTGCGGGACCACCAGCCTGCTGTTGGACCCGGTGATCACGGGCCCCAGCGACAGGATCCCATCGGTACTGATGCTTCTCTGATCACCGCCATATGGGCATGGGGGTACCCCCCCCCCCACGCAGAAAATCACGTGTTTGTTCCTAAAGCTTCACCTGCACTCACAGCACTGGCCAGGCAGGCCTCGGCCATAGGCCTGATTGCAGAGGGAGGGACCAGTCACAGGGCCAACGCTGAGCTGCCGTTTGCACGACACCCTGGTGTCTACCACAGGGTCAGGGCAGAGAGAAACTGGTCAGCAGCTGCGCGGCAAGTTCACTCTGGAAACAGTGGGCAGGTGGGAGAGTTACTCCAGTTCCTGTCAGCAGCGAGTAGTGGCCCGGAAGCCAAGGATGTTGCAGGGGGTGGGGTGTATCATGTACAGAACTCGGCACTGCTGCCGAGGGGCCCACGGTGTCTGGGAGGCTCGGGGAACCATGAGCAATTACCATTGAGGTTGCAGGAACCGACAGTAGAAATGGTAAAATTCAGAGGATTAAAAGGGATTTAATTTTTCAAAATAAAGAATAGCCATAAAAATCAAACTTTAAAGCTTTTTTTTAGTGTTTATCATCCTGAAGGCTGTTGTGGAGGTTATTGTTCAGGTGGCAAACTTTGAATGTGGTTAAATGCTATTATTTTATTTGCATAAGGGTATAATATCAGAAGGAAACACTGATACTGAGGAAATAACCTTCCTTTCCCATATAAATGTCTCGCCTGTTTAACAAGTCTGATAACGTCTGGTGAGCAAGTATTGCAGGAAGGGCTGGCCAGAGGCCACGGCGAGGTGGGGAGCGTGAACAATGACCCCAGTGCAGGATCTTGGCAGAATGGCGCTGGCCTCCCGGAGTGTATCTCACAGGTCGGGGCCTGCGGCCTGGAGTGAGAGCGTGAGAGTGTGCCTGGGTTTCCCGGGGCTCTGAGAGGGCAGGCAGCCCTTAGAACATGGTTCTCTGCATAATTTGCATTGGTTTCAGAGAGGAGGGCAGGGCGAGAGAGAAACACCAATGGGAGAGTGAGTCACTGATTGGCTGTCTCCTGTACGCCCTAATGGGCTCAGTTTGGCAATCTCTGTAATGTGATGCCACATTTATTTTGTTTCTGAGTGTCCCCGGCTGCAGAGGGTAGTGATGGCACACAGCACGACCACATGTTGTTGTCGTTTTTAAAACTAAGCGTTTGGTATTGAAATTAAGTTTGTCGCAAACAGGCCTGGGAAGTGGATTTATTAGGCAGTTAGGGATGTATGCCTAGATCTCAGGACAGATGTTGTATTTGGACTCGTCAGCACGTATGGGAGCTGAATGGCATGGGCATGAGCTGTAGCACTCAACAGAACTGGAGATGTGGAAGCAAACAATAGAAAAAGAAAGGAAGGATCTTTCATTCATCAGTTTATTTTGTTCATTAGATTCCACATATGGGTGGGGTTTGCTGGGTGAGAAAGGTGAACCAGGACAGGGAGAAGGAGTCATGTTGGGGAAATGTGAGGAGTAGCTGGGAATGCTGAGAATACCCAGCAGGAGGTCATCCTAGGGGACCTGGGGAGCTTCCTGAGGGGTCAGGGACGCAGTGAGCAGAGTAGGGTTAGATGTCCACTTCAGCAGTGGTCCTCAGGGAAGCCCGAGAGCTAGCGGGCTGGCGGACATGAGACGTGCAGCAGAGTGAAGCGTTGGGAAGTAGGCAGTGTTCTTGGTGCTCACTCACGTGTCAGACCACGGGGGAATGTTCACCAGAGGGTATCTGGGAAGGGTACAGGGCTTAATCTTTCAACTTTTCTGAACTCACTGAAATTATCTATACTACAGACTGGGTCAACCGAACATCTGGTTGTCCAGTCCTCCTTCCTGACAAAGCCACAGTGGCAGGGGGCTTAGGCAGAGGCGGTTAGGGGTGATCAGACCAGCATGGTAGCAGGGACCATCAGGCTGGCAGGGGAGAGCCGTTAGGGGTGATCAGGCAGAGGTGGTTAGGGGTGATCAAGCAGACAGGCAGAGGTAGTTAGGAGCAATTAGGCAGCAGGCAGAGTGGTTAGGGGTGATTAGGCAGGCAGGTAGGTGATCGGTTAGGAACTGATGTCCCAGGTTGTGAGAGGAATATTTGACTGCCAGTTTAAACCAGCAGTCAGGCATCCCCTAAGGCACATGTGTCAAACACAAGGCCCGCGGGCCAAATCCGTCCCGCCAGGCCTTGCAATGTGGCCCGCACCGCGTTGTCATCACTGCACTCCGCTGCGTTTCCATCACAATGACAGTTTATGACTGTTCAGTAAACCATTCGGCCCGCGATTTAGGCTGGATTTTAGATTTTGGCCCCTTCTCTGATTGAGTTCGACACCCCTACCCTAAGGGATCCCAGATTGGAGAGGGTACAAGCCAGGCTGAGGGATCCCCCTTCCCATGCACAAATTTCATGCATCAGGGCCTCTAGTGTGTGTGTGTGTGTGTGTGTGTGTGTGTATACCTAAGCAACCGTTAAACCAGGCATCCTCAAACTTTTTAAAGTGGGGGCCAGATCACGGTCCCTCAGAGAGCTGGAGGGCCAGACTATATGAACTACTAATTCCTACTGTAACACCTCGGCTGCACTCACTGCCCAAAAAACCTGGCGGGCCGGATCAGACTCCTCTGCGGGCCGCATGTGGCCCGCGGACCGTAGTTTGAAGACGCCTGCGTTAAACCATTCCACCAGTAACTATGATGCACACTGACCACCAGAGGGCAGACACTCTGACCAGTGGTGTTAGCTTGCTGCTGGATTCCAGTTGAGCCAATTGGGATTGGGTGAGACAGGCTGGACATGCCGTGGAGCCCTCCTGCAGCCCCTCTTTGGCCCTGATCGTGCACTGGCGGGTTCCCTCAGCCTGGCCCGTGCTCTCACAATCCAGGACTCCTTGGAGGATATTGGATAGCTGCTTTCAGCCCAATACCTGCAGGCCAGACGGAGGGACCCCACCGGTGCACAAATCCATGCACCAGGCCTCTATTTTCAAATAAAAAGTATTCCCAGTAGAATTGAAAGTAAATAACAGGGAAGTAGAGATGTGGCTTTACCACGTCTGTCCAACCTTGGCTGGGAACAGCCCAGCAGCGCCTGGAGGAGGAAAATGAAGGCCAGAGCTCAGTTTGGCAATCGCGTCAAGAGTAAGGAATAAGGATGCCCTAGGAGGAGGAGGTGTGAGGGCGGGAGCTGGGCGGGGCAGGATGGCCAGGGCGAGGTGTCTGGAGGGAGAGCTGGAGGGAGCGAGGAGGAGGCAGGCCTGGGTGGAAGGACGTGGGGCCTCCTTCCCTGTGCTGTGCTCAGTGGGGTGTTGCAGGAAGTCACGCCCAGTGGTATCTCTCCAGGAGCTGAGGGTATCTGCTAAGTCATGTATGCTCAGCTATTACAGATTATACACAATAAGTCTCAAAGGGATTATTAGGCTTTTCAGAAAACTTTTGCCACCAACTTTGGAGTCAGCAATCCTTGGCTCAGTCTCAGTTGAGGGTAGAATTCAGCCTTAGTTCAAGCTGAGAATCTGGATCTTGGAAATGACAAGTTAATCTGTCATTTAAAAAATCTGTTAATTCGCTGACTTTCTTACAAAAAAGTCTACTTCCACTCTGTTGATACTGTGAAAGAGACTACCCTTAATAGTGTTAAATCCAGAATCAATAAATGAAAAAAAATTTCATTGGAAGAGTTTGTACATGTGCCTGTTCACTTTCTCTGAGGTTTCCCCAAAAAAAACTGCAGTGTATTGAAAACAACCCATAATAATAAAAGCATACTATGCTAATTAGACCGAACAGCCAAACGTCCTTCCAGACAAAGCTGCGGCAGCTGGGAGGGCAGTGGCAGCAGCACGGAGTGATCCACTGGTTGCCTCCCCTGAGGGCTCCTGGGCTGAGGGGGCAGGCTGGGCAGAGGGACCTCCCCCAGGGCATGGCTCTTTGTGCGGCATCAGAGTGTGTATCTGGAGGAGGTGCTTTCGCCTGTTGACTGGTTCCTGTGATGCCACATTTATTTTGTTTCTGAGTGTCCCCGGCTGCAGAGGGTAGTGATGGCACACAGCACGACCACATGTTGTTGTCGTTTTTAAAACTAAGCGTTTGGTATTGAAATTAAGTTTGTTGCAAAATAGCATTATTTATTTTTTGTTTAAATTGTAATTCCAGTGAGAAAAGTTTCCAACTCTTGTCTTTTTATTTTGTATCATCCCAATATTTAGTTCCCTGGGAGTGTTGGTAAAGTAGCCACTCATGCCCTGACCGCTGTGCTCAGTGGATAGAGCGTTGGCCTGTGGACTGAAGAGTCACAGGTTTGATTCTGGTCAAGGGCATGCACCTTGGTTACGGGCACATCCCCAGTATGGGGTGTGCAGGAGGCAGCTGATTAATGTTTCTCTTTCATCAATGTTTCTAATTCTCTATCCTTCTCCCTTCCTCTCTGTAAAAAATGAATAAAAAAAAATTTTTTTTAAGTAGCCACTCATTCCTGCAGGATAAATTTAGGCAGAAATAGTTATCCAGTGAAATTCTGTGCTTTTTCTAAAGTATTCAGACCATATTTGCATGTCTTATCATTGTAGACCATGTCATTAATTAGTATATGCCTGCTCTTGAATGGTTAGGCTTTGTAACAGTAGTGTTTCTCTTCGTGCTGAAATCTCCAGACAGCGAGAGGGCAGTTTGGTTTTATGGCTCCTTAAGTCTGTTCCTGAGTGCTGGGCTTTGGTTTTTGGTTTTTTTTGTTTGTTTGTTTGTTTTTTAATATATTTTATTGATTTTTTACAGAGAGGAGGAGAGAGGGATAGAGAGCTAGAAACGTCGATGAGAGAGAAACATCGACCAGCTGCCCCTTGCACACCCCCTATCGGGGATGTGCCCACAACCAATGTACATGCCCTTGACTGGAATCGAACCTGGGACCTTTCAGTCCGCAGACCAACGCTCTACACTGAGCCAAACCGGCTTTGGCTGGGCTTTGGTTGTTTTGTATACAGCGTCAAAGTTAGCATTTTCAGTTAAAGTGCTCTGCCCTGCCATCATCCGTGCCAGTGCTAACGTCGGTCTGTTTTAGATTTGCAAAGAACCTGGAGCCAAAATGCCCGTAAAGACACATGGATGTCTGTCAGCAGGAGAGGAAAATAACGCATCTGTTTTTAAGGTAGTGGAATTCTGAAGTCAGACCGCTTGGTTGAATGCTTGCCATAGTGACGGACATTCCACACCCTCACAGAGCCTCTGCTGCCCGCTGCTGCCTGGGGAGTGTGGACACTTGGGCAGAAGGAAAGCGTTCTTTAAGAATTGTTTATTTCTTGTGTGTGTGTGAGTCTGTTAGACTTGAAATTATGTATAAGCTAAAAAGTAAAATAAATATTCTAAAGTTAATATCAAAATGGGTAGGAAATTATAATGTAATTTTAAATTACAAATGTTTCAGGCTTTAAATATTGAAAAATTAGCCAGGTTCTTTTGACATTACTTTTTAACCATAAAGTAGCACGGGAGGGGGGGAGGCTTAGTTTTTTAGTATCAGACGTCTGGGGTGGCGGAAGGTAAAAAAACGTATGGCAGCTTGCTTCCGCACTAAGACTGGGGGAGTCACACCCTTTTATTCAGGCGGCGCCAGCGTGGTGCTCGATGGAGACCTGACAGGTGGGGAGGTCAGAGACGGCTCAGGGTCCACTCCCTGGCCCGGGCCCAGGAGCTGGGCCACGGTGGATGGGGGGCTGACCTAAAGGAGGAAAACGGCGATGCCCAGGCAGTTGCTTGTTGGTTCTGTGGATTTCCATTGTGTGTCCTCCGTGTGCTAGACACAGCTGGCCCCTGGGAACCAGTAACAAGTGAAGAGCTTCCTGGTCTGGTGGGAGCCAGACCTGTGGCTCCCCATTCCGCTGGGAGGTGTCAGTACGTGTGAGCAGCGTCGCAGAGAAGTATTGAATCCCGTGAATAGTACACAGCTCTTGCTTGGGAACTGCTTCAGGATTTAACTTGCAGAACTGATCAAAGTCAAATACAGAGTTTTTGGTAGGGTAATATTTAGATGTTTGGATCAACTATGGATTCCACCTGAATTCTGAGGGACAGGGTAGTTTTTATACATATACCCTGAAGATCAACTTAGGGATAAAGGGTTCTATATTATGATAGAGTTCTATATTATTGTTTAAAAAATAAAGTTCTGTTTTAATACCTTTGTTTCATTTTCTTTGATCTTTAATTTGGTGTGCATGAGGAGAGGAAATTGAGATAAATGAACATGATGAAAAGGTCACCTAAAATAAGGAGAATACAAAAACTTAGTAGAACTGTACAGACTATAGGCAATTAGTTGAAAATGCAAGCTGATGCCATGTATTTCACCTTGTGTGGGCACCAACATCGTGGGACTCGATGTTCAAACCAGCGGCCCACTTCGTCAGACAGATGCTGTGGATGACCTTGAACTGAGGGCACATGCCCACGAGGGCTCCAGGCGCTGGGAGCCCCCTGTGACTGCCGCCTGCCCACAGCGGAGCGTCGCTGGGCCGCCTGCCTTCCTGGGCAGGAGAGGGGAGTGTCTCAGGGCATGGCTGCCGGAGCTCTTAGGACGCCAGCTGTTTGAATGGAGAGCAGTGGTTTACAAGCCTTTTAACCGCATGTCATATTGTTACAAAACACCAAGGACCTCTGGGTCATACCTATCAATACTTGCTCTAGTAGGCATTAGGCCAAACATTTTAAACATTTATTTACTCGAAGTATGTCTTACTTTACTCACACATGGTTTTATAACAGCCATGATCTTTACTTGGATTTATTGGTTTGCTAAATTATGTAAGTCTTCTAGTCCTTGACACTTTTATTTTTTTAGGAATAGTTCATCCTTACTCCCCCTCTCCCCCCCAGTTCTTTACCACCCTGTTGCCGTCCATGCTGTGCATATGAGTATGTAAGCTCTTTGGTGTCTCTTCTTGTCCCCCCACCCCCATATCGAGGTATGTCAGTCTCTTCCATGCCTCCTTGCTTCAGGTGTTATTTTGATACTATCTTTATATATCCTTTTTTAAACCCTATTTGTTGATATCCCCACGACTTTAGCAGAAAGTCTTTGTAGTTATTGGGAAGCTAAAAAACTCACAGAGGTAGATAATAAGTTTTTCAAAAGTCTTACTTCGATCTAAAAGCTTGAATTTCATCATTGGCAATAAACACTGCCAGTTGGTTTTCTTGGAGTCACATGTTCACTTCTTTAACATTCAAGAAAATTTCTGCCAAATAACCAAGTCTGATAACCCACACTTGTCATCGTTTTCAGTAAAAATGGTGTTCACTTGTAGAGAGTCAATAAAGTCATTATTATCCACTTCTCACAACCCACGTGGGCGGTCAGGGTGGGGGTTAGTCGGTGGTGGTAGTTGGTGGCGGTCAGGGTTGGGGTTAGTCGGTGGTGGTGGTGGGTGGTGGTGTATCGTGGCCCCCGGGGTACTCCTACCTGTGAGGCAGGGAAATCAGTCCTGTGGCCTCAGTGCTAAGGGAGCGGCATTGTTGGCTGAGGGCCCGGTCAGCCGTGACTCCAGGCTCCCACCGAGCCCTCTGTATTCCAAGTGAGGGTTCTGTACCTCCTTAGGTGGGCCTCAGGCACGTGGGACACGGGCACCTGAGACACAGGCACCTGGGCCTCGAGCACCTGGGACATGGGCCCCAGGCTGTGCCCAACCAGGGAGAAGAGCATAATTCAGGCATCCCTGACACTTGGAAGTGGTAACACGTTGAGGGAAGAGCCATTCTGTGGAAAGGGCCGGAAAAGAGGTGCTGTTTGAGCTGAGTGCTGAGGAATCAGTTTGTTAGTTAATCGGAAGGTTTTTTAATGCTCCCCCTTTCCTCCCTCCCCAGGCTGTAGAAAAGAATTCAAGAACTTGGAAGTAGGCTGTAAGTCTCATGACCCAGAATCCCATCCACAAACGAAAACCCCTGTGATAAAGAGGTAAGGAGAGGCATTGGGAACAGTAATGTCTTTTCCTAAGGGGGTGCATCAGAGGAACGCTGTGCTCACCAGAGGCCCAGTGCACACTGCCATCCGCAGCCGTGGTCTGCGGCATGGTGATGCCCATCTTTTTGGGGTCAGCTAGCAGGACGTACACTAAGGAGAGGGGCCACGGGTGCTACACAGTTGTTTCAATCCTCATAGATCCTTACAAAGTGGGTGGTATTTTGCAAGAGAAGATTTGGGACTTAAATGAAGTAATTTGTCCAGAGTAGGGAGCTCAAACCTGACTGCAGCTCTCGTCTGCCTAGCAAAGCCTCAGCTCCTCACTGTGTAAGGCCCGTGATAAAAATGGCCGGGTGAGCAGAAGTATTATCATCTCCACCTGGGATGTTAGTTACTACCTAAGTAGACGTTATCTTGGTGAACTAGATTATTTTAAATTAGTGCCCTATGCTTACGTGTCAAGATTAAAGTCCCTCCGTTACTATGAACTCTGCAGTGCTGGTTGGGAAGTGTCTAAGGGGAAGGAAGTGTTTGCTGGGATTATCTTCCTGAAGTCACCGAACGTGTCTGCTGGGCGGTGAGGTGAGCAGCCAGCTCCTCCACTCCGCATGCCGCCACGTGGGGCTGTAGCTTCCCTTTGTGTTTCCACTTCAGGCCCCGCGGACGCGAGCCCAGCGGGAAGCTGCTCCCTGCGCCGGGCCCACCTGTCCTCCGGGACCTCGCAGCCAGTGAGCACCCCCCGACGGGGGAGCAGAAGCTTGAACAGGCCAGCGAGGGCCAGTTTCCCGCGCGGCCAGATGGAGGCAGTTCCGAGGGGACAGGTTTACGTGCTCACACTGATGCTAGTGCTGCTTCTGGAATGAGAACGAGCAGTGATGAGGTCTCACCAGCCTCGGTGTGGCCCGTGCCCGGGAGAGCTGCCCCCCTCGCCCGGCAGTGCACTGCCACAGACTCGTGTCACCCAGAGGCCTCCCCGTCCAGGGGCCGCGGGGCTCCGTCCACTCACAGAGCCGATGATTGCCAGGTGCCAACACTCACTTGCCAGAATCCACCCCCCCCTTTGCCACCAAAAAGGTATGCTGTGCCCGGCGTGCCACAGCCGGGGAAAACCGGCCCTGAACCAGATGCCAGGCCCCCAGAGGCGCCCAGAGCGCGCTCTGCTGGCCCTCCACCACTCCGTGCTGGGACGGCGGCCGCACCGGGCTCCACGGCGAGCGCCCCGTCCAGGGACGAGAGGCCCAAGCAGCCCGTCCCAGTGCGAGAGCGCGTGGGCACCCCCCGGAGCCACCCGGCCAGTGCGGCCAACTGTGCCCCAGCAGGTCTGGGTGCAGGGGGCACTGCTCTGTGCCAACCAGCAGCAGACCGGAGCCCGGCCTGGCCCGGGGACACCGTCTCCCTCACCACCTACTTCTCCGTCGACAGCTGCATGACCGACACGTACAGGCTGAAGTACCACCAGCGGCCCAGGCTCTGCTTCCCGGAGGGCTCCGGCTGCGGGAACTCGGCCCCGGGACCTGCGTTGCTGGACAGTCTCGGGACGAGCTGCCCTCCTGAGCACAGACACAAGCCCAGCGTCCACTGTGACAGGTGAACCACGACCCGCAGCCTCACACTCAGGCCATCACAGCATGGGGAGATGGACGGACCGCACTTAGTGAACCATGAGGTTAAAGCCATGCTGTTTCCAAGTCATCCGTCACTTTAACATTCTCTCGTACGTTGTACCTCGAGACAATCAACTTACTGGGTTTTAGAAATCCCGTTGAGTCATCTTGGCTTGCCTCGAAAAACAATCAGGGATGTGCAAAAAGTCACTTATTGCATGGTGTGGCTGACTAAAAATGGAGCCTGTCCCTTTGTGGTTGTAGAACCCCGAGAGAAGAGTCAGACCTCGTGTGTGGAGATGGCTACACCGGCTGACGCAACAGTGCCCGGGGGTGTACTCGGTAGGCAAACAGGCTGGGCTTTCTGAACAAGGACTTTCTCATGGGGCCAAAGGACACTTCGCCTTCCCATGGGTTCCGACTTCTGGGATAGTCGGCTACATGTGACCTCTCCATGTCTTAGAAAATACCGACTCGTGAAATTGATAGCATTTGGGGGAAAAGCCTTAATGATAAAGACATTTTTAAAATATATATATATTTTTACTGATTTCAGAGAGGAAGAGAGAGGTTAATAGAAATAGAAACATCATGATGAGAGAGGATCATTGATCGGCTGCCTCCGGTACACCCCACACTGGGGATTGAGCCTGCAACCGGCATGTGCCCTGACTGGGAATCAAACCATGACCTCCTGGTTCATGGGTCGATGCTCGACCACTGAGCCACACTGCTGGGCAATAAAAAAAATTTTAAATTCAATTCTCAAGGTCAAAACAGGAGAAACTTAATTTTGCTCCTAGAACTCTTATCTTCAGAATGCCTAGTTAACATCAATTTGGCCTTTGACTGTCCTATCAATAAACAATACTTCAGCCAGGTAAGCTAAAAATAATAAAGTACTTAGCATTAGTATTTATTTATCGTGTTACTTTTTTAAGCTTTTGTATGCAATGTGAACGGTTTTTACTTTGGGTAGGTTTACTGTGGGCTGCTAGGAACCAGTGTGGGCAGTTGACCTGGGGACCTCACTGTGACTGCCTGGACTTCCCTGCCGTCATCTCTTCCGAATCTAGGATGGCAGCCTGTTTTATTGATTTTCTGATTCTTGTATCTGAAAATCTTACTGGGTTTCCAGATAAAATTGTTGCCTTTGATTTAGAGGGTTTAATTTTAATGAAATGTCGTTTTACCCTAACTACGTTCATGGAGAAGGCTCTACTTTAAAAAAAATAATCTTCCATTATCACGATGAACTCACAAGTGGGAGTTACTTTAATTGTCTGTTACTTTTCTTTAGTTGTCCTTTTGTTCTGAGGAACCTAACTGGCTCAGCCGAGTTTCACAGTGTCTGCTTCAGAGAATGACACACCGAAAGCTGTTCTTCCTTTGCCGATGGTAGTTTATAGGTAGGACTTGGTCACTCTAGAAGCTGATTACTAAATTTAATACTTTGACCAATTCCAAAAATTAAAGTATTCCAAAGTGTAAATGACTAACAATACTTCCAAATAGGAAGTAATTGCTTATAAAAGTCTAACTTACCCAGTTTTCAAATCTTACAGTTGTCTTTCACCAAGAAGGGTTTTAATAGCCTTTTCTAACCATGACAGTGATTATCACCTCTCTTCATTTAGAAATACTTGAATATCAACTGAATTAAATTTTATCTTTTAAGAAAGCTTATTTTAACATGACTGAGTATGGAGCATTTGTAAATATTGTAAACTTTGTAAAATTGTATTTGAAATGTCAGTGTATATAAATAGTGCTTTTATAACATTGTAAAATACTAGAAAACGGGCTTCAAGTATTTTTAATGGCTCTCAAAACCTTTTGTGTAGGTTTTTATTCTACTGATCAAGATGTTCAGTTGAGATTTGAAATAGTTAAAGCAATTTCTGATATTTAACAACAATCTCATAGATTTGAATTTACACTCACAATTGAGTTTAAACATCAACTAGAAATGTCCCCTTTGGCTCGTAAGTGCTGTCCAGTCGGAACATCCAGAGTCATGTACCAGCTCGGACAGGCTAGAAATGACCGTTCGTCTCTCTGTGATCTAACACTCCAAACACAGTTTGAGTGCTTACTTAGTAACTAATAATTCACATGTACAATTTTTATTTTTTAGGGTGCCTATTTTTTATAGGTGTCTTCTGCTTATAAACTTACTATGGTAACTTTTGAAATAATGCAACCAATTGTCTTCCAAATATTCTATTTTCATGTGAAATGAGTTTTTCCAGTTCAAATTTTTGGGAGTTTTTTTTTTAGAAAAGCTGTTCTTTGTTGGATCTTTGCATTCATGAACTTTCTTCTCTCCCCTCCCCCATGTATTGTAGATTATGTATTTTATGTGAAATATGTCAATGTAAAGTTCAGGGGACATGGAATATCAATGACCAAGTGTCATCACGGGAGGCTCCCAAGGGAAAGGGCAGTGACGCCGGAAACAGCCCCACGGGAGCTGGCAGGCTCGGTGAGGAGCCAGGTAGCACTCCAGGCATGTGATGAGGGCTCTGTGGCACACAGCTCAACTCCACCAGAGCCGCAGGGAAGCAGGCGTGTGCCAGGGAAGCGTGGATGTTGACACTTGAACGTCATACAATTTTTACATGTCAGGAGATAATCTGTTCTCCCCCGTTGCTTTCTCAGCTCATGGGCCTTATAAAGAGAGGCAGCCCATTGGCCAGTTTCATGAGCCGTGTCCTGGAGCATCATCCACACTGGATGCCCTCCTGACCCTCGGCACCTGTGGGCTCTGAGTCTGCAGTTCGAGGCTGGGCACAGGCAGACCTTCACACCCCGCTTTCAGGCTAACAGCCTTCCTCACAATTGTTGATGTGCCAGTTCATTTCAAATGGTTGTGGACAATCGTTTTACTTTTAAGCTTGTGAAATTTATCAGATTAAAGTCATATTGCTGTCATTCTTGTGGTGTCTTTGTCCTTGCCATAGCAAGTGTGCCAGCGTTCTTGGCGTCCCATTACCAGGGTGGAGGCTGAGAAGGCGGCACTGCTTGAGGCCACAGCTCAGCGGTAGTGCCATTTCTTACTCAACACCTGGAGGACAGGTTCCGCCTCACCTGCCACTTCTGGTGCCATTCACAGCCAGGCCCAGTTCAGAGCCTCCGTGTACCTGTGCAGAAATGCTTCGAAGGTGCCATTGATGGATGGAGGCTGATTTTAGGCACAGAAAGGTAGTATGCAGTGCAAGCCCACGTGTGACAACCGTAAGCAAGCTACATGAGAACTTCCATCCTGTCACAGCCTCACGTGTACATCAGACCAGTCAGCTGCACAATAAACTTTATTAGACAAAATTACCAGCCAGCAGCACAGAAACAATTCATACAATGTTTGGATACGCAAGGAAATTTCACGTTTGTTTCTCTGATGCTACAATCTTTGCCCGAGAGGTTTTCTTCAGACATATCAACGGTGCCTGGAGGCACTGTTGTTAACCTGTACGTGACAGATCCCACTGTACCCCAAGTGCCATCCTGAACGGTAGAGGACGCAGAGTTCACCAGATCTATGCCTTGATTTGAAAGAGGGCATATCCCCCAAAATGTAGGCAACTCACATACATCAAACATCCCTAATTTCAACAAGAGGCTGTTCCCGGCTCTATACGGGAGTATCCTGTCACATCTGAAAGGTTTGTTGTAGCTGCCCTGCGAGTGCGGCCCTCTCATCCAGTGCCAGCTGTGCACTCCGAGAACATAAATTCTTGTTTATTTAGATAAAAACCAAGGTGCTGAGTTCCAGGGAGGCAGTGATTTTTGTTTTGTTCACTGCTGTACCCGATCCATACAAGTGCTCAAATGTTTGTTGAATGAATAAATATGCTGATTTTGCAGAAGTTACAGTAATTATAAAAACAAAGGTGTTTTGGCCACAAGTATTCTTAATGTAACCCCAATAATAAATAAAAGGACTGAAACACACTGTCCTATTTTAAGGAGTTCAAGAGCTTAAAAGGAAGAGGGGGAGCACTGGGCAGGAAGAGCTGCCCATTAGCTTTCCACTACTGGCTATTACCTACCTTCTCCAGGGTCATGGCGGCCTGGCAGCCAGGCAGAGAGAGGCCCACTCAATCTACAACACTTACAGCCAGTTATCTGTAGACCTGCATTTTCTGTATAGATTTTAATTCTTTTCTAAAATCCTCCCCTTGCTTTCTAGGAATTTTAGATACTTCACCTTAATAATTCACCATATATAATATTGCATCATACTGTAAACCCTGGTCAACCCTTAAAATGTTAAGGGAGTCATTGCTGTAGTTCTTAATGAATACACTAAGCCTTTCTGTACAACTGTTTTAATTCAGCTCCCGAAAAGCCACCAGCTATTTGAAGAAAGTTATTAAACATGAATCAAAGAATCTAGTTTTCAGGACTTAGTTATGAATGGGTGAGGTCACTACCCATCTATTATAGTCCCCCAAAGAGTAAGGAATGTGTAAAAGGAATGAAGGTCCCTTAAGAGTTTGAAATTCTTCTGTTGCACAATCCTCTTTGTTCAAGAAGTTGTAAGTCATGTTCAGAGTTCAGTCCAGGAGCCACCTTCTTGATGTCGATACCAGGCAATCCATCTGTAAAAACCGAGTATTTGTCAACAGTGTTTACTTTTTCTTCCCATAACACTTTAAGCCAACTTCTGAAATTGACTGTCTCGGTGACTTGCCTATTCCGGATGAATGACATTGAGAAGAGCAAACAATAGCCAGAGCCATTGACCAAAAGGCTTCGTTTTCTACCCAGAGCTGAAAATTCAGGTGATTAAAAAAAAATCATTGCACTTGGGGCACATCTCTACCAAAAGGGGGCGGCGGCAAAGAGTGGACACTCTCCCTCTTTACAAGTGGCCCCACGGAGGATTTCACAGAATCACCAACTCCCCCATCCGCCTCCCACCTTCCTCCTGCTCACCTGCCAGAGCCAAGAACCCGGAGACAGGGGCCTCGGGTACACGCTTTCGCTCCCCAATCTTTGCCAAAACGTGGGCAGCCGCCTATCCAGGGCGCTGACTCCCAGCGTGATGACGAGGGGATCAAGAACCCCGGACCAGGTGGCCTGATCCCTTCGCCCATAGGCGCCTCCGCTCCGGCTTCTGGGCTCCACTGGACCCTCCGCGCCCCCCTTCAGTCCTGCGTCCCCCTCCTCCTCTCCTTCCTCCCTCGCGGCCGGCACTGCCCTCGGGGGCGGCTGGGAAGAGGACTGGCCTGGGGAACCCGAGCTCGGAGCTCTGCCCGCGGTGTGGGGTGTGCGGGGGTCCGGCCGGGTCCGGGAGGGAGCTAACGCCACTGACGTGGCAGCTCTGGGAGTGAGCTCGCCTGGGACCCGAGCCCCCGCGCGGCGGGCCCGGTGCGGCCGCAGGACAGTCCCGGGGCCTGGAGCCGCGCGGGGGCCTCGCCCGCAGGCAGACCCGCCACTGGCGCCGCCGCCCTCGCACGGCCCCGCGGTGGGCCCCGGAGCTCCAGGCGGCACGGCCTCCGTGTCTCCGGGGCGAGCAGCCCCCCACCCCCGCGGCTCCACCGGGGCCGCACCGGGTCCCCGCGCCCGGCTCCACCGGGGCCGCACTCGGACCCCGCCCCGCCCCGCCCCGCCCCTCCCGCTCACCACGGCCACAGGTACACGACCAGCAGCAGCGCCAGGTCCACCAGCACGAACAGCCAGAGGTCCAGCCAGTACGAGTGCGCGGGAAGCCGCCCCGCCGCCGCCGCGGGCCGGGCCTGGTGGTTCTGCTGCGGCGCCGCCGCGGCGCCCGGCCCTCGCCGCTCGCGGGGCCCGTTCCGGCCGTCCCCCGCCGCCGCGCGCCCCTCCATGGCGCCTCCGCCCGCAGCCGGAAACCGCGGCCCGCTTCCGCCTCCCGCGCGGGCCGCCGCCTACGCATGCGCCGCGCCCCGCCCCGGAAGTTGCCCCGCCCCGCCCCCGAGCCCCGGCCCCGCCCGCGGCCGCCGCGGCCGTGACCGCCCGCAGGCAGCGCGGAGGGTGGGGTGGCCGCCGCCCACCGGCCGCTCCTCCCGGCCCGCCCCGCCGCCCGAGGCCTCCGGGCGGGAAGCCGGCCTTTCCGGTTTCCCTAGAAGAAGTGTCCGGCCGGACCGGAAGTAGCCCTCACGTCCCGTTCCCGGCGGTGACGGCCCCAGCGGCGCGGCACACGGCTCCCCCTCCGCGTCTTCCGTCCCCCCATCCCGGGCGGGGGCGGCGGGGCGGTTCCGGGCTCTCCCCGCGGCCCCGCCCGCTGGCTCTGGGGTTTGTGAGGAGTTGGAATCCCACTGGCCGGCGCGAGCCTGGGGCCCGGGCTGGGGGCGCCCAGGACGGAGCTTGGCCGCTGCACCGGCGGCAGGAACCCCCGCCCCTCTGGGTCCCAGATTGCCGCCGGGTGACGGGCGCCCCGAAGAGCGTCTTCCTGCACAGACCTCACGGGGTCCGCCCCCAAAGGGCCGGACAGAGGCCTCCTCACCTGGGCCGCCGCCGGTGAATCGCGGGAGGAGAGCGGGTTTGCCTGTACGGGCTTCTCCTCGACGACACTCCTCGCCCCTGTCCTCCTGGGCCAGGGGCACCTCATCTCGTTTCAGGAAGAGGAATGCCCTCCGTGCACCTGCTGTTTCTAAAGAGCGTTGAGCTCAAAATAGTCCCTTTGCCCAGTGGCCTCGTTGGGGGTGACAAGCGCTGGACTCCTCCACTTCCCGATGGTCAGAGCGGCTGACCAGGTGGCTGTGGACAGAGGGTGAGGTTGCTGGCAAGGGGTCTCAGATTAGAATGGAAAGAGTAAAGTGGAAACTTGCAGATCTGAGCACATTTCCCCACATCCCGTTAGATCCAGCCTCCGACCCGGGAGGCCCATTTATCGGATGGAGAGCGTTCACCCTGTCCTTCAGAGGGTTCCTGTCGGTGGTTTCTTCTGCACAGAAGCAGTGTCCCCCCAAGATTGCACAGCCCCTCTTTTGGGCTGTCCGAGTGACCAGGCGAGGGGCATGTGGAGGACAGCAAGGCTGACTATACACCTCTGAGCACTGTGCTCCCAGGATGTGCACAATGATAGCAAGCTTGCTCTGTTTCTCTGGGAAGATGTAGAACTGCCTTTACTGACTGACGGGTTCCCAAGCCTGGGAAAAGGGATCTCAATGCTGAAAAGAACTTAGGACTGTGAGGCACAAGCCAGTTTCCTATAACATCTCCTCTGTATGTTTACGTGGCACTACTTTAAGGACAAAGGATTCAGGTTGTAATTTAGCCGATCTTGAAGGCGGAGTGCCTGGTGACCAAGGGCGTCAAGAATCCGAGTCCATATCGTCCTAGCCATCTGGGCGGGGACCTCTGTATGCTTGTCAGCACAGGAGATGAAAGGCCAGTGTTGTTCATGGCTGAGATCCGACAGGAACGGGTGACCATCAGGTTGGGGTGGTGTGCCTTGTCACCTGTCGTGCTGGCATCTGCACGTCTCCGTCCCTGTGTGTGGAGCAGAGCAGGCTGTGGAATAATGACATGGGAGCTAGCTACAAGGCTTGGATTTATTACCTGAGCATCTCAGTCGGGATTGTTGGTCTACCCATAGGTAATGTTTGGTTTTTTGGCAACTAGTCAGGGGAGCCACTGAGCTACCTAAGATTGCACAAGCATGGCTGGAGAGCCACACGTCACAGCCAGTGATTTGGCAAGTGTCCATACCGTAAGAAGCCACACAGACTGTTCATGACCTTCATGAGAGGCTTGGGATGCTCCCTGTGGAATCAAACCCAGGGTGGCTGCAGTGCTGCCTTGGTACTCGACCCAAGCAAGGCCCAGCACCGTGCGGTATTCAGTGCAAAGGAGAAAATGCCCTTCTAATGTGTCTGCCGAGCTGAGACAGTCCTTGAGCTTCTAAAGGCATTTCTGTATGTGTGGTGTGTGTGTGTGTGTGTGTGTGTGTGTGTGTGTGTGTGTGTGTGTGTGTGTGTGTGTGTGGGTGTGTGTGGTGTGTGTGTGTGGTGTGTGGTGTGTGTGGTGTGTGTGGTGTGTGTGGTGTGTGTGGTGGGAGTGGTGTGTGTGGTGTGGTGTATGTGTGGTGGTGTGTGTGTGGTGTGTGTGTGTGTGGTGTGTGGTGTGTGTGTGTGGTTGTGTGGTGTGTGTGTGGTGTGTGTGGTGTGTGTGGTGTGGTGTGTGTGTGTGTGTGTTGTGTGGTGTGTGTGGTGTGTGTGTGGTGTGTGTGTGTGGTGTGTGGTGGTGTGTGGTGTGCTGTGTGTGGTGTGTGGTGGTGTGTGTGTGTGTGTGGTGTGGTGTGTGTGGTGTGTGTGTTGTGGGGTGTGTGTGTGTGTGTGTATGTGGTGGTGTGTGTGGGGTGTGTATGTATGTGTGTGTGTGTGTGGTGGGGGGTGTGTGTGTATGGTGTGTGTGTGTGTGTATGTATGTGTGTGTATGTGTGTGGTGTGGGGTGTGTGTGTGTGTGTGGTGTGTGTGTGTGGTGTGGTGTGTGTGTGTGGTGTGTGTGTGGTGTGTGTGTGTGGGTGTGTGTGTGTGTGTGTGTGTGTGTGTGTACAATAGGCTCACCAAAAGAAGGAGTGACGCTGTTTTGGTCATGGAGGCCACACGTTGCCATTCATCCAGGTTCCAGAGTTGGTCCTCCAGGTCCCGCCATTGGCAGGAACACAAATGAGTGTTTTCGCTCCTGCCAGTGGTCTAAGTGTTGACATAGCCAGCACTCAGACTGATTAGCGAATGTGGCCAGAGTTTGGAAAGTTGGTACAGGGGGTGTCTGTGCTTGACCTTTTGAGAAATCAGTACGAGTTTAAGTTCATAAGAGTGAGACACAGCTTGGGGAAGAGCCATGGTGAAGAACCAGATGGAAAACAGGATAGACTGAGACCAGCAAGGTCATGTCAGCCTTTTCATAAAAGGCTGAAGGCAGTGGAGGTTTGGTTAAAAGGAAGATCCTTCCCTGTTGTATTTCCCTGTAGAAGTACGGAGACCCAATAGGGGAGGAAGGAGGTGGAAGCGAAGTTTCTTGGTCTGTGATCTTGGGAAGAGCTGTCTGCTCCATCTTGTGTCTGCCCCTGGGATGTGGGAATTGGTCCAGGAGTCCTGACTTCAAGGCCACCTTTTGATAGTCTTCTAATGATTCTGGGAGTGGTGGCCACACCAAGCCAGTGTGGCTTATGTGAATCCAAAGTGCTGTTTTCTTCATTTTGATGGCAGTAGGTCGTGAGCATCTCCTAAGGATTTCTTCATAGCCGTGATGTCTGTCCCATCTCCAAGTCAAAAGGGATGGCAGGGCTTAAGGTCAGTGGAGGCCACGCCCTTTTGCCTGTTGATGCTATCTTACAGGTAAACTAGTTAGTTCCTGCATGTCGCTGGTCAGCATGGAATTGAGTCACTGACGCCAGGAATGGGAGGATCAGAGAAGCCAGGAGGCACAGGCAACCAGACAGTCTTCCAAAGGGCCACCCATGTCTTATCCCCCGGGGCTCTGTGAGGACCATGGGGAGCGCGCTGGCCGGTGAGTCCAGGTCCTGACAGTTTCCATAAAGCCTTGATTCCTGGACTTCTGGTTCCGTTTGCCCTGAGGATTGGGGTTGGTGCTGGGAATGAAATATTGGTGGGTACGCCAGCGTTTTTGCAAGGAAGTGGTTTATTTCTGCTGTACAATGGGCTCCCGGGTCTGAGTCAGTCCATCCAGGAACATCATGTCTGGATGTTCCCCGCCTCTGGGGCCCTTTGCGCACATCTCTCCGCCTCTGTGGCGTCCGTCCACCAGTCCTTTCCCCAGTCCATCCACCAAATGTACAGGCCAGAACCAGTGGGAAGAGCCCACAGTGGAGGCAACTCTGGGGTCTGCTTTTAGTGCCGCATGGGCAGTGGGGTAAGGATTGCATTTCCTCACCCCGGGTTTGGGAACTAGGGCGGATGGCCCTGGCCCTTGGACAGAAGCTGCAGAAGGTAGGGATTGGCCTGTGTCAGTCTCCAGCTCTGCCTGCAGGGCCCGACCAAGCGGAGTGACCAGTCTGTCTTCGCCACGCCCCTTCTGGACTCAGAGTGGCCAGAGAAAACGTGCGACCAGTCCTCAGGAAGAGTGACTCCGGTCTTTCTCTTATGAGGACTCCTGTTGCTATTTCTGACGGCTGTAAGGAAAGGGGGGCTTAACAGCTGACCTCTAGACCCAGTACCCTCAGAGGGTTCATTTTTGCCTTCTGCGGACAGCACCCCTCAACGCACAGGGTCATCTGGGCCTCAGTCGCACCCAGAGCTCACCACTGGCCTCAGCAGAGGACTGGACGGGCTTCCTGGGCACGGCGCAGCGTCAGCCGCATCCTGAGCGAGGCTCGCTCTCTCCTGGCACCTCTGCGGGCTGCCTACTCATGGTCCATATCTTGGGCCACCCCAGCATCCTTAGGCCCCTCTGTCCCATTCCCTTCTCCATCATTGCCGCTTTACATCCCTGACAGTTCTCTTTGAGAGCCGGACAGTTGTAACCAATGCTGTTGGTTGCAGCTTCTCTACTGTCTTCGTCTTAGCCTCTCGCACTCCCATCCCTCGCCCCCCTCAGCTCAGTGCCCAACAGCATGTCTGCTCAGCCACTCAGCACCCGAGTGCCCAGCAGTGCCCCTGCTCAGCCACCCAGCCCATCCCCCCATGCCCAGAGCACCCCTGCTCAGCCCCGGCCCCTGCCCCCATGCCCAGGGCACCCCTGCTCAGCCACTCAGCGCCCCCCCCCCCCAGGGGCCCAGAGTGCCTCCCCCCCTTAGCCAGATTTCCATCTCTGTCTTCCTGTGGACACCCTTCTCTGGCCTGCGGGCTATGGTGCTTCTTGTTCTCACTCAACTATGTGCTTCCCCACCTGTCCCAGCCCTATCCATCCCTTCTCAATGTAAACACACCTTCCTAACATTCCCCCTGCGATTCACACCCATCCCCCATTCTCAGTCTGTCTAACG